AATCTTTAAAAATAACCAGATTGTTTAACAAGTAATAACAAGAATTTATAGGTCTTCTAAAATCGTATCTGATATTTAATTTTTGAAAGTGAACTGAGATTATAGTAAATTATTTTAAACTCATTTACCTATTATGAAGTAGATTCTTTTTTGTATTGAATTGTTTCTTAAATTCTACTAAGTTTTTATTTATAATACGCCATTTTTAAAGAAGATATTATACTTACATGTTAAAACAACCGATGAGTATTATTAATGAGTAAATTGCATATATTTATACTTCTATACATTATCAATACATAGAACCACAAATAAATATCTACTTGTCATGATTTTTAATAAATTGCGGACTTATTCTTCCTACTGGAGATGTTATTTTAAATGCATCTACAAAGATCCGATGTTGTTTTTGAATTAATATCAATTCGCTTTAAATGAAATAATACAAATTATTTTTTCTATTATTATTTATTGTAGATGAATCTAAAGAAAGAAACAATTATAACTATTTTATTTGCCAATCTCTCACTTTTATATTGTATTGTTGATTATAAGTCATCATATTGTCCGTAATTTTTTTACTGTTTAAATTTTGCTGATCCTGGATAATTATAATGTACATAATTTTTTTCACCATCACCATCTTCTCCAATCATAAAAATAATTTTTTATATTTAAATTATTTAATTATTGATATCGAATAATTTATTCAGTTTAGATATTTACTTTAGTATTAATTCTTCATTTCTCTTTACGATAAATTTACAACAACTTTAATAATTTCGATAGCAAAACTTTCAATAGAATATATTTTAATGCAATTTAATTGACATATCGTTTATCCAAGTACATAAACATATTTTGTAATGTATTTTTAAATGTAAATATCAGTTGTAATCATTGTATCGTATATATTAATATAAGATAATAATATATTATTAACATACAATAAATTCTTTACTATTTCTTATATAGACTTTATTAATATTTCATCATAAAATCCATTATTTATTGTTATTAAAATATATAAATAAGCATATAGATAGAACATTTAATGAATAACATTAATTTTAAGCATCCAAAATTATTCTTAAATCAAATATTAAAACTTATATAGGTTAGTCAGAATCCTTCTATAATATTTCAAATTTATTAATATCACAAGATGTAATAATATATATATTAGCAACTCTTAGTTGAATAAGTGACATTTTATTTGACAATGTATCATTTTAATATTAATTCCAAAACGATATTTCTCTCAATCGGTCGATATAAACATTTTTTTAAGTTTTAACATATTTTTACCAATAAATTTTAGATACGTTACTTGATGACTTATAAAATTTAATCGAGGCTCATTCATAGCAACATTTAATTTAACTTTTGAGCTATGAACATCATATTGTTGAAAATAATAATGTCTTCGACTAAATATTAATTTATTGCTTACTCTTTATATATCGTATCACAACAAAGTACTTGCGCTTACACACAGATTGTCAATAGAATTAAGAGTCGCGTCAGTGTCATCAGAACTGACTATGAATTAGCTCGCCTAGTTATCGCAAATTCTCCCTGCGACACTAGTTTATATCCACAACCTTCCAATAGCAACTAAAGGATGTAAAACTGATGTAAATTAATGTTTCTGAATTAATTCATTACTTGACTGATACTCTATTCTTTATTTTTCTCATGTTTAATTGTAGATACTCCTTTATTAAAAAAAAAACGAAACCTCTCCATTATCGTTATAATTTAAAGCTCAATTTATACATTATTTCACAAACTGAAAAATCATTGTAATAACTAATTGTCTAGACTAACTGCTATAACTATTCCGGAAAAAAACAATATGAATTACTAGTATCGTATTGGTTTACTACAAAAAATAGATATTTTTATATACTCTCAACCCTGAGAATCAAAGGCCAAAAACAATCAAGGGCCTACCGTATAAATCTAATCAATATTTGTAACCATTTTCACCAAACATTTAACCAAAAATACATTTTCAGTAATCGTTAATCTCACTATTAAGCCACTACAGTAGTGTGAATTTTTGTTAGCTCTGATCAGATCTGAAGAAAGCATAAAAATAATAAACTAATTGATATTACTATTTTCATTAAATTTTTATCACATCATAGAATTAGGGCCACGACCTCGATAAGACCATGATCTCGATAAAAACATATAAGTAGCTCTTAGATTACCAAAAGATTTATAAAAAAAATAAAATAATAACCAGTAAAAATAATAAGAAAAAAAAGAATGAGTGAAAGCAAAATGAAAGAAAATTTATATAAATGTAGAAAAATAAAGAATTTCCATATTTACTAATTTTCTATTCTTTTTTTATAATAGTCACTGATCTTATCACGAGTGGGTTTCTAAATTATTTCTGTAGATTAAAATACACATTGAAAAAATATGAAAAACGCGGCAGCAACGAATGATCGATGGAACATATGAAATAATAACTGCTCACAGAAAACGTTCATACTTCTCTAATGTTATATTTTAATATAAATTTCAGCCACAAGGATAGTGTAAGTGTTTCCAGACGATGATTCCAACAGTATGCACACAGGAATTTTACCAACAAATTCTAACTGTCAGTAATAATTCAAACATTAATTGTAGTATATAGTACATACTTCAATTTCGTATATAAGCGATCTGAAAATATTTTTCATATTCTCACTGATCAAGGATTGAAAATCAAGACTTGGATTTTTTTTGGTATTTTTTTGGAATTTTCTTATATAATTTAAAATGAATATTTGGAATAATCAAATAAAAATTTTAATTAATGTCTTGAAATTCAACTAAACCGCAAACCAAAAATCCTATATTTAGTATAAATTTGAATTTTATAATTTGCCCTTATGCTTCTACTATATTAAGAATGCCAATTACTAATAAGATTAAAAACTTTATACTTGTTATGATGGGTTATTGATATGAAGGAGTTATAATATCATATATTAAATAATTATTGGATTATTTTCATAATTGTTTTGAATAAATTCACATTAAAAACAAACTAAAATAGCTGTAGAATACGTTAATGGTACACTATACTGCATAAATAGAATGTATAGTAAGGAGAATTTGAAAATGTATTGTTCTCTTTATTATTCATTACAATGAGATTATTTAAATTCATTATAATTTAAAAATACTTACAATAATCAAGACTTCTACAAAAGCTAATAAACACTATGAATATATTAAGTACATTAAAATGTAATTATTAAAAAACATTTAATTCATTGCTCTAAGTTTGCATGAGTTAAAAATAAAGAAAATAAAATATCTCTAAATTAAATTAATAACAATGAATTTAAGACTACAAGACTCATACTGGAACTGTACTTATTAATTCAACACTTGTACTAAGTATTCAGTTTCTATCTAGTTTCAGAAAATTTAGAATATTATTTTATGCAATCGGATTGTTTCGAAAAAAATTATTATTATTTTATGCAATCGGGTTGTTTCGAAAAATATTATTATTATAAGAATTATTCAAAAGATATTTATTTTACATCAATTTATTCAGATCTTTAATATTGTATTAACGCAATTTCTTTATTTCTTTAAATATAATTATATACTGTATTTTTTATATTAGTCTTTATATATAAACATATAAAGACAAATAAAAATAATAAAATATACTTAATTATATTGAATTTAATAAAATGCAACAGTTTTTTAAATATTAACAATTAATAATTTTACTAAATGTTTTATTATTTATTAAAAGAAGATGAATATTTATAAGAATAAAATTCTTACTACCGTAACCACTATAATTAAATAATTGAAAATAATAAATAAAAAATTCAACACACACTGTAAGTAAATAATATTTAATTTACTAAAAACTGTTTTAAAGAATATGTTTATCTTGACTACAATTCATAATATTAATTCTTATATACATTACATTGTATTTCATTTTACTATTTCTATATATAAGTATAGTTTTGTAATATATATATATATATGTATGATATGTAAATATCCATTGTCCGCTTATTAAAATTATTTATTTAAATAGTAATAAAATTTACTCATATCCTTTCAAAATATTCCAATTACCTTTCATTTCAATATCCCATACTGTTATAACTTTCAGATCACATAACTAAATTATTTTAAAAACATATAAAAACATACTATTTAATAATCGAAACCACAATAACTTTTATAAAGCTAAACTATTTCTAATTTATTTTTCAAATACAACTATTCATAAATCGTTGTTATAAGTAAATTAATGTTTAAACAAAATTTAGAAATAAATTAAGAAATAATATTTCTACAATATCTATCCCACTACAAAAATAATATATTTTGAATTAGTAACAGATTTAACTGAAAGAATATTAGAACAAAAAGGTAAAATAAGGAATATTTATACAGATAATGCTATCAATATTTTAAGTTCAAAATGTAAAATTAAAAAAATTTACTATTTTTCTGAAGTACACTTACGTCGTAGTTTAAATAATGTAATAATCGTAAAGAAATAATGTTATTAAAAATGTTATCCATAACCGAATTATCTATGTAAATACACTATTTTATATATCAGTTTAAGTTATGTTCAGAATGTCTTTGTTGAAAACAAAAAAGTAACTCGATAATAAACAGTTTATTTCAAAACAAAATCAATATTCTACAGCAAAATCCTCCTTTGTAAAAACTCAATTTTAAAACCCATTTTTATTTAAAACAATGAAATATTAAAAACATTTACTAAAAACATATAGAAGTTTGAATTATTACAAAGTATTTTAATTTTAATTTCCATTTAATTTTCAATTGATACATTTTCCAGCCAAGCATTTTATATAATGTATTAATTATATCAAATATTTCACAAAGAATAAAATACACTTACAAAATATATTTAAATTAAAAAATCGTTAATTATCATAAATTCATTAAAAACTAATTATTATTAATTAAAAAATTTTCAAATAGTCATTTGAAAATTCTTATGTCTGTAATTTTTCATTCGAATGCGAATTTTTTTATTTACATCTGAATATCTTACACCAAACTAGACCAACTGCACAAATCGTTAAGCCAAGAGCTATTACAGTTAAATAAACTACTTTTGTGATTTTTATGGGATAGAAAAGAGAATCCTTTATTAAAATAATATTCTCGTCATTTAGTTCAACACCCTGAAATTAGTTTATAATAGTTTATTATGTTGCTAATTTATAACTAATATAAATTGAAAATAATAAATATTATTTAACTTTAAACATTATTTTAAAACTACTTACCTCGTCAATCCAAACAATAGGCATAAGGGAATTGGTTAAATTTTTTGTAATATCAATACCATTAATTATTCGATAAAATATATTAAATTGTACTCTTTTACTTCCTCGTAAAACTATACCACTTTTCTGTAAAAGAAAATAAATTTGAAAATTCAGATTCGTAATAAAGTAAACATTAATTCCATTATCATAAGTATATATTTAACAAAATAATAAAAAAAGGAGAATTAGTAAAATTATATACTATTTGTGTTTTATTAAAATAATTAGAAATATTTATCTTAAATAAATTAAATTATGTTTCATTACATAAAAACAAACTAATAAATATACAGAGAATTATATACTTTAATTTATCATTAATTTATTTATCCTTATGAAATTTGAATTATTTTTATTATAAATCCAAAGCTTATGGTTTATAATTTAAAATTAAAATCAATGCGTTCTAAATGATATTTCATAAAATAAAAAGATAACCAGAATTGTGAAAATAAAATAAGTAATTAAAAATATTAATAACATTTTCATTTTTAATTGAATTTTTATAAGTATAAGAGGTGTTCGAAAAAGTAAATAAATATAATTTTTGTGGTCGAATTTATAAACACGTCTTTTGTAAAATTTAAACAAAATGTAACTTAATGTTTTTATTGTTGATAAATTAATTATGTGCCACTGATTTTCATCAAATATTATTCTTTATATTTATCAATATTTGTGATGATTTTTATTTCTATTTAAGCTAATAAAGATAATAATCAAAAGTTAATTTCAATATAATGACAACATTAATTTTAATATAGTCTCCAATAGACAGCAATTTTAAAGTACTATCTATAAAGTTTATACTCAAACAATACATACACCTTTTTCTAGTATTTTATAATCTAATAAATTCAGTGAGGACGCTTTTACGATGTATTACATTTCAATATAAATATTAGTTTTTATAAACAAAAGAAACCGGCTTTGTATACATTACTACTTTAATAGCTATGTAAAGTATATCATTCATGATTAATAAATATTCAAAATGATTTTTAAATTCTGTATTAAATATTTACTTTATAGTAAAGAAAGTAATTAATAAATCATAAACTGCCATGCTTTTTAGTCATTTATAAAAAAAAGCAGCTACAGAAAAATATCAAGTAACCATGACGATAACAATAGGAGCTTATATATTCCTGTATATTATGTGTACATCATAAAGGGTGTTCGACCTATCGTTGAAATGATTTCCTTAATTTGTATAAATTATGGAATTTCTAGTTAATTTACAATTCTACCGCAATTAATAAATTGAACTATATGTATTTGGCCATTTTTATAACCAGTACTTAGGCGAGACATTTGTACTACCACAAAGATTGATCGAAGCACAGATCTGTGAAATGCTTCATCAAATGAAAATTTCTGATTGAGACGTTGAGGCTACATTACAATATTTTTGTAACCATATATCTCTTTATTATACTTATAGTCGGATTTATATATTTATTTTTTATATTTTTCAGCTTTTTCTTATAAAGAATTGTAAAGAAAAATATATATTGTACATGATTTCTTTTATTTTATTACTTTAATTGCAATTAGTTATTATTATAACTCTGTAGATAAGTTATAATTGTATTACAAAATAAATTAAATTTATTATAACAGCTTTTTCTGACATTTGAATAAATGATAAAAGTTTTATTATATCTTATCAATAAATTAACACAATCTTCAATGTCTAAATATTTATATTTAATATTTTCTTGGTCTTATTTCTTACAAAAATTAATATTTTGCTTTTACTAATTTTACAACTATATATTTAAATTATAAACATTAAATTTTGAACTATAGTATTGAAAAAAATCATGTATTTACATTTGTTTTATAAATCAGTTAAAATTATAATGCGATTTAAGAAAAAATGATATTATTTTCACCTTTAACTTAGCAATATTATAATTTATCAATCTCGTAAATATGTTTACAAATTTCACCTGCAAAATAATATATAGGCTGTATTAAGATCATATTTGTAATACTATGGTCCATTTGTACCAAATTCATTAAGTGATGACGGCTAATAATAGCCAATTACTTTTCATCTAGTCCTCCAAAAATAGTTAAAAATATTTATAGCTAAAATACAGAAATTAAATGGCTTATGCGTCGTCTAAATGTATCATTACTAACTGATTATCAGATATATCTAACACTATCTTATAGTAACATTCTTCGTTTTCTGGGATATCCTAGTATATACTTAAAAAGGTAAATAAACCTTTGTTTTTTTTATCTATTACATCATCATCGTGTTTGTTATATAAATTTAATATTATTTGTTCACAATTTATAACTATATATGTATCTAGAATATTAAAGAAGTTACATTTCAATAGAATCATACGACAAAACCATAAATATTTCTATATATACAACATTTTTCATTACTAATTATATGAAACGTATATTATTGTTTCATATCGGATGAATTTCAGCTATATTATTCTAGTAAAAATTGTTATAAATTAATATTATATAATATTTGATTACTAATACATTAAAATAAAAATTATTTTTCAAATAATTTTTAAAAAAATATAAAAATTTGTTATGCTTACAGGTTCCAAATCAACAAAAGTTAAATGGAGTGATTCATTAGGAGTAAGACCATCGATTGTGTTTTTATATTCTTCATTAGCCAAATAAAAATGAGGGAATGTCAATATAGCTGGTACGTCTAAAAAAAAAATTATTTTACATATGAACAATTAATTATAATTATAATAAACTGTAATGACCAAATGATATCATATAACCTTATTATAATAAATTATAATATTATTATTATAATAAATATAACCTTTTTATGATGTTTTCTTTTTCTGATATATTTTATATGTATTAATTTAAAACTTGATAAAAATGTAAATATGTTGAAACTATAAGTATAAATTTTAATACGTTTACGTGTATCTATACTAATAAGAGTTAATTTTTTCTTAAATTATTGAAATATTATTTTTAGTTTATCAAATTTATTTTTTAATAAAATAAAATAATTTACAGTCAAAATATACATAATAGTTTATTAAAATAAAAATTTATTTAATAAAACTATAAAATAAAACCTATAAACTTCATATAATCAATTATATATTTATTTTAATACTAATGATAAATTAATAAGTAATGGTTTATATTTAAAAATTTGTTTTTATTACTTCAATTGTTATATTGTTTATTTCGTGTATTAATTCTTTATTAAGTTTTCTTTAACATAATTTAATTTTTTTTATAATATTAGTGAACATTAAGTTTTGTAATATATAGAAAATATGAACTACGATTAGTCATCATCTATTAGTTTTCAGATTAATATTTCGTTAAACATCAACACGGTGAAAGACATTGATTTTAACTAGTTAAATTGTTTTATGATTATTAAATAAAAGTAGACCAAACTTCATAAACCGATGGTAAATTTGACTTTGAATAAAAAAAAAAATTTGATTATTATTATTGTTTTAATATTATTATTAGAATTTTTAGAAAAATATATTTTAATATAAACATATATAATAAAATAAACATAGTATAATAAAATAAAATTAAGTACAAAAAGATTTTAATTTATATTATGGAACAATAATTATATTATAATGATATAATTATAATGATGATTATATAATAAATTTACTTTGACAACTCCATAATTCCATAGCACCGTCTAAAAGACAACCATCTTTGCCAGTGATTCCTTTTGTTTTATTTAAGCAGAAGCACGCATTAGAAGAAAGATTTACACTTGAACTAAGCATGTCATTCTCTACTGCATATCTCAGACCCGAGATATCATGATATATAATTTCACTTTTATAATGAAGATCTATTGACCTTTAAATAATTGTTGCCATTAATTAATATATTATTAATCTGTACCTAATTAAGTTTTTATTAATCTTACAGTAAATTATATACCATTGACAGTATAAGAATTTTAAATAAATCTAAATGTTTTAATTATAATTAGTAAAAATATTAATAAAAATATTATTATTCTTATTGGAAATTCAAATTATTATTTTCTAGTAACTTTTTTAATAATAATAAAAATTCAAATGTTGATCTTAGTTATAACTTAGTATTAACCAATGATTACCTGCATATGTCAGACTGAAAGACTTTTATTTTTGATTTAGGTGATTGATGAGGTGGAAAAATCGTTGTGTCGGACCCATAAATGTTATTGCATGAACTATTGAATTTCCAGATGTTCAATGTTGAAGCATCATTCCAAGATAGAATTTCACCCAATGAATCAATGTTTTTCACGCCATTACTAATGTTATAATGCCCATCATTCGTATTATTTTTCTGATCATAAATATAATTGTTATTTTTATAAATATAAATCTAATCATTTTTAAGTATCGAATTAATCAGTATAGTTTTAAATAAATAAATTTATTTCATATTTTTATATTCTTCTTGAATGTTAGTTCTGCTTACAATAATAATCAATTACTTATTTATACTTAAAAATATGTACGAATATATTTTAATGAAATATTAACACACACTTTGCATATATAATTATGAAACTAATATTTTTATTAGCTTCTATTAGCTTATGAATGATTATATTAATATTGTACTTAATATAAAATTTAAAATAATAATTGCTATTCGAAAGTAATACATATATTATATAAAATTATAAGTGTTTATCTATTTATTATATAAATTAATTCTTTTAAATATATAAATTAACTTACATAGCTAAGTAAAGAAAATTTAAATCTGCCATCGCTAAGTTCTTCCAATTGAATTGGTGCAAATTTTTTTATTTCTTTACAAACAAGTTTTAGAATACCTTGTCCAGCTTCATTTTTCTTATTACATGCGATATGAATACCATCAAATAAAAATTCTTTCGGTGTTGTTTCTATAAATACATTTTTTGGTTCATAAAATAATGTTGGAATGACTTTATTGACAAATACTGGCATCCGATTTTCTGCTATTGTACTTACCATCTAAAATATTACATTCATATTATATTCATTAATATATATACTTTAAGAATATTTTAAATAAATTTTAAAGCAATTATTATCTTAATATATAAATGGTTAAAAAATGATTAAATATTTCCGATTTAATTTCATGTAACAATAAAAATAACTATTATGTATTAATTAACTATTACATAATAATCATCATACGAATGATACAAAAATGATCATTCAATTTTTTTTCGACCGAATAAGAGTAGTGAAATATTTAAAACTCCCAATTGAACTATGTAAAGAATTAAACTGTTAATATATTTTGTTATGTTGTGTCACCTATACTGGAATGATTTGATGGCGTCACATTTCAATATTTACACGCGGAAGAAATCCCTTTATTTACAGTACAGCGATAAATGCAAAAGAAAGATATTTAGCGAAATGTTAGTATTATTACCTTAAATATACAGAAAGTAACGATTTTATGAATTCCCATACACATCACTAAACAATTAATTATACTTATGTGGAATTATAACAATTATTCCAGTTCGATTTGTTTATACAACAAATTATTAAATTAAATACATAATATTATTGTATGAATAATGATTATTTATTCAAAACTTTCTATGATTTATATGCTAGTAAATAAACCTAAATTAAAAATAGAAATCTGCGTTTTGTAATTATTTATAGTAAATTAATTTCTATAGTATTTTATAAAAAGAACCAATATAAAAAAGTATTTACATTTTTATTATTTATTTATATATATATTTATTTATTTAATTATAAGTAATTGCATAAAGTTACATTAAAAATAAATTAAATTTGTGTTAATTATAAATTTTAACGTTAATTGTTTATATTCAATGCATATAAATTAAAAATGTTTATATTTAATAAAATAAGCATTCAAAGATTTTTAATTAAAAAATTTACAATCTTTTTTCAAATAAATGTAACCAAAATTTCCATGAAAAACTATATATTATTACATTTTATATAAAATCGCATTTACTTCTACGAAATTATATTTTGATTTTAAATTTAGATTTTAAATTTTGGCTAATTTACATATTTAATATATTATAACTATATTATTTTCTTATATTCTTTAAATAAAAAATAAATATTAATTTATTTTTGTGTTTTGAATGTAGTTTCAATATACATAAATTTAATACGTAATATATTTTATCATTGTTTTATATAGAATTTATTTCTAAATAATATCATCTTAAATGTAATACCATTAATGGTAGATGGACAACGGTAATGACATCGTCTTCCTTGTTTGGCTTTGATGCTTCTTCATTAAATTTAAATATTTGGTTTTGATAATATGAAAAAGAACCATTATATTCAATAATATCATATTTATGTCTAAATTGGCTGAAAAAATACAATTAAAAACTCGTTAACATTTAAAAATATTATAGAAAAAATGTAATTGTATAAAATTAGATCTAATATTTTTCAAATATTCAAAATAATTTCAAAAATATGTTTTTATACTTTTACTGACTCATAAATATATGGTCCAACTTCATTAACTTCAGGTTTAGCTCCAAGTTGAATTTTGTCAGGATTAGTAACATTAAAAAAATATACCTTAAACTGCAATGGGATTGGTAAAGTTTCCCATCTTTTGTATGCATCTGATCCATTAATCAACATAACAGACTAAGAAATTGAAAATTTCCTTATTAAATTCATTAATATGAAACTAAATATTTTAAACAAATATAAAACTACTAATACAAATGAAAAATTGTGTAGTCGGTTGCATAAAATTAAATCTAATATTTTTCAAATTTGAAAATGATTTCACAAATATTAAAATACGTTTTTATATAATACTATCTATTATAATTTATATAAGCGATTACACAATTAAATTAAAGAAATTTCCATAAGTGTTTTATATAACTAAATTTATCAATACTACTTTTTTAAAACATTCAAATAGCTTAGTACTTTTTATAACAAAAAGAAAATTTAAGAATATATCATTAACTACTATGAAAGTACTGTAATAAATCAAAATAACACCGAATTAAGCACCGAATTAAGAATTACTTAATCTTATTCATAATTAAGTTTTTTATTACATTATGATAAAGATATATTCGTTTAACATAACATCATATATTAATTGTCGAACGAAATTGATTGTTACATTTTATTAACTGAAAGAGTAAATAAATTATTATTATACAATATATAATTTTTAAATAGATTAGAACTTTTTAACATTTAAAACTAATTTCCTTTAAAATAGAGTTCATAGTTATAATATATAATATATGACTAACACAATTTCAATTTAAAAACTAGTAACATTTTGAAGAATATTATATCTAATTTTCATTCATAAGAAGTGATTTGAAAAATTAGAAAAATGGGAAATAACTATATATATATATATATAAGTTATGACATAAAAATTAAATAAAAAAATATTTTAGGGAACATCAAAATAGAAATATTTTTAATAATATTCATTATCATTAATTAAAAAATATTATAAATATTAAGTATTATTATTAACATAATTTTCAGATTATTAATAATATATGTAGTTTAGTATTTTTTTAATGAATAATATAACTTATTTTACATGATTAATTAATTTATTTAAGACTATTATATTTAACCGAAGAAAAGTAATTACTCTAAACAAACATTAAATATTTTCATAATTTTTTAATGTCATATAAACCATTCTTTAGAGTTATGCTTATATTTATCAGAATATTTAAGTGTTAAATGGATTTTGAAAAGTTATTTAAATATAATGAAACAATTAATAATATATGATCTGAAAATGTACACATGTAAGCGAATTATCAGATATTTTCCAATGATATACATTTTTATCATGCATATATTGTGTATACTGTAAGTGTGCATAGATCCTCAAACATATTCATGTAGGCTGCGATAATTATATTACAGTTTTAAATAATTTCATCAATAATAAAAGTAAAAAATAATTAAAAGTAATAAACTTTTAGATATTGAAAAAAATATTAAATATGCGTTTAACTATCGGAAAACTATTATTATAACTAAAAATTTTATTGTGTTTCTTTATTATTTATACATAATTTATCTTTTAAAAAAGTATAATTCCCTTTGAATATTCGATAGTTAATATTTAGTATCGCCAATATAAATAAGAATAAGTTTTATTAAAAATTTAACGTGTCAATGAATAAAGAATAATTTACATAATAAATCATTTTATATAACTTACTTCGTCTATGGTTTGATCGATAACTAGTGGAAATACATAAAATCCCAATAATAATCCAATAATTGTTAAGATAATGCCAAAGATAATACTTAGAGATTTACACGAGTTAAGTAACACTTTGATTAATAACATATTTTATCTTATTTTTTAATAATTCAATTGAATTTTTTAATAAAATTTTTTATTTTTAATGAGTATATTTGCACATGTATAAATGTAAACATTAATTTATTTATTGTCAGTTAATAAATTCTTAAAAAATTATTTTTAATTTTAACAAAAATTAAACTGACTGATTAAACAGACTGTGAAGTTCTGATCTACCTGATAAATCATTTAAGCTTATACTTTCTAATATTAATCACGAAAATGATTATTTTTTATCAATTATCTTTCTTACGTTATATATACGTGTATGGGTGTGCGTAAACGCGCACGCATCTTTCTGTGTGTATTATCAGGAGATATTACACTCTGTACTAAATTCTAAACTTTATAATATATTGTAATATAGTATAATATACTGAACTAATCGATAATCACAGGCTATTAATAATAAAATATATTATAATAGCATTGATATAGTTATTTAATAATTATAAATTTTATGTAATTATGTGTATGATAATTATAATTCTACATTCTTTAAATTTTAGAATATAAAAAAAATTTTAAGATTATTTATTTTACAATTATCAATATTACGTGAACATATAAAAAAATTTTTAGTAGATTATTAGAATTAAAAAATAAACTAATTAAAAATGAATAGCTTTCAAATATCAATTTGAAATATATAAAAAAAATTTTTTTTATTTCCTAAAATTTATATCTAATTTTTTTAATAATTTATACTTATTTCTAAGTATATATATATTTCAATAACTTTTTTGAAATTTTTTTTCTAATTTTAAAAATTTTTTAGCATTAATCAATTCACTAAAACATTATCCATTCTAAAATTATATGATTAAAAGTACTAATCACAATTTGTTTATGTATATATATATTAATATAATCCATACATATAATAGCTTCAATTAAATTAAATATTACAAGTCTTACTACTTTTTTTATAACGATAGTCTTCAATGGTTTTCAATCTAATATTAGCAGTTAAGTAGTTTAGAAAAATGGCTTAAGTAATATAAAAATTTAGAAACTAAAATATTACTCCTTAAAATATTTAAATGTTTTTAATCTAATTATATTTTATTTTCTAAATCAAAATACATTTATTAAAAAAGTTATTCCAAAAATAGTTATTTATAAAGAATCATTTAAATATTTCACTAAAAAAAATTAAATATATTCTAAATTGTTATAAAGTAGAATAATTCAATCATAAATTACTAATACTACAAATTAGTCAGATGTAGAATAAAATCATTACAAAAACAAAAATATAAATTAATATTAGATCTATTTTCTAATAGAATTAATTTAACTAAAATTAATTAACATATACTATAAAATATAAACAAAAAATTACTTTAAAAATAAGATTTATTCAAATTTCTTTTATTTATAAATTATATTTACAATATATAATTTCATCTTATTTTTGATATTTTATGTTACTTAAGATATTTAATTAAATAAGATTATTAAAGATATTATAAAATAATTAACTGATTAGTTAATAATCTTACAAAACATAAAGAACAGAACACATCCATACATATTGTATTTATTCGAATTGTTTAAATAATGCTAAATTAAAAAAAAAAAAATAAAATAATTAAATTAATCCGTTATATATAATCATATTATAATATTGAATTTAAATATATTCAATAAATTGTAGTCGTAAAATGAATTCTGAAGGACGAAGTTTTTGATTATTTGAATGTAGCTTTAAAAAAAAAACTAAATATCCAGCTCAATTAAAAGTCGCTAAATTTCATTTGTAATTATTGTACAAGTCAATCATATAATTATAATATAAATATAATTATAATTCAAAATTATTAAAAGAAAAGAGAAAATACATATAATTAATTCCAATATTACTATGAAGAGGAATGTAAATTGTTTCTTATTTAAAGTTTCTAAGATTAGGTTTTGAGTATCTAGTTTATAAATTAAATCACTTTTTTTCTTATTATAATATTCAAATTTTGTATACTTTGATATAATTTTTATATTATTTAGAATTCTCTTTGATAATGTAAATGATATTGAATTTATCACCATTTAAGCAAAAAACAAATTACAAAATTTTAATGGGAAAAAATGGTTAAAAATATTTTTATAATTATTGAAGCATTTAATGCATTCATAAAAAAATCCACTTCAGAATTTGAAATCTTGCATTTTTTAATGAAATCCATACTGTGTAATGTACCAATAACAGTTTTTTTATGACTTTCAAAATTTATATATTTAAGATTATATTTGACTGAAATAATTCCGAAAAATATTAACTCTTTGAAAATTACCAATATAATTTAGCTTTTACGCTTAAACGAATTCAAACAATTTTATATACCTTAACAGAAAATAAACGTTTATACAAAATTTAAATGATATTTTAGATGAAATTTTAAACGTAATAGTGAAAAGATTAAAAATATCGCAAATACCTAATGCATTAAAGTGTAATTTATTTAACGACTAGTTGCCATTTCTCTATAGTAATGCCATCATAAAAAATTTGAAACAAAATTTACTATTACTCGCTATCTAATTAAGGTAATGGATAAATTGACCTCGATTCAATTGATAAAAGTATATTTAGAAATTAGCTGAAAATTATTAATATCTGTATATCGTTTAATACTGTTAGTTTATAATTCAATAAATCAAAATTATCGTTGTAGTAAAATTTTGACCTTTTCAATAGTTACAGAAATAATGGAAATTTTTCAATACAATTTATTAATAGTGAAATTATTAAACACTAATAATTTAAACATTTTTATTGTTGATTAATAAATTAATATAATTTATTTATTACTATATCATAATTGCTCATATAAACAAAATAGAAAATTAAAATGATTATGAACGTATTTTTTTATGCAGTGCTTAGATCTAAAAACTTTTATTGCATGTTTATTGTACTATACATTTTACATTAGCAAAGATTATGAACTGATTTTTGTAAATATATATATATATATATATATATAATACTACTGCATAATCTTTATAATATTATACTGTATCGTAAGCAAACAACTATCATTAAATTAACTTTTATATATATATATATATATATATATATATAAATAAATAAATTATAGTTAATTCAAAATTTTGATAAATCTTTATAAACACATTGAATATATTGATTAGATTAATTATTATACTAGAATATATCGGTACATTTAAAAATTTATTGAAATTTTATTGAAAGAAATTCTTGTTTATTACGTTTTTCCTGCAGAAAAGAAAAGTTATTTTATAATAGGCATAAAAACTTTTTTACATTACATCCAAATTTACTTAATATAAATACATATCTTTTATGATAAGCTATTTGTAAACATATAGTAATTTTTATAAAATAATATCACAACAAATTTTATTTTATTGATTTTATAAATATTCTATTTTATTATTATTATACATTCATATAAATATATTTATAGTACAAAAATAAAATATTTTATACACGATTAAAAGTAAAAGTTAAAAAATATTATTGAATTTTTATCTTATGTAAAATATAAATTAAACAACTGTATTCTAAATTATTATGATAAATTAGAAATTTTCATTGTAATAAGCCTTTCCGATTTCGAAAAACTGTATAATCATTATTACTTGCACCTATTTCGAAACACTTATCGTTACCATGATACGTATTTAAACCTCTTACTCTTGACATCATCTATACATATTAGGAGAGATAAAGATATTGTGAGAGACACTTTAAATTATCCATCGGCTACCAAATAGGCATCAAACATTAAAGTGACTTTCCATTCAACCTCAGATATACAGAATTGTCAGCATCTAGTTTAGTACTTTAGTTATTATAATAGCGAAAATTGCCATAATTTTATTCAACCAATGTAGATATGTTCAATATATCTGTAAGTATGAAATTCTTAATTTAGTAAAATAAATATTCTTTTTCAAATTTTTTACAAAATAAATTTTTTTTATAATTTACAACATATTTTAAAATTATAATACAAATTATATATTACAATATAATTGCTTAATTATACTATAAATATATAACATCGGCAATTCTAAATATATAATTAAATAGTGGATCAATGATTAATTATACAATCGCAAATAATGTATTAAATAAATACGGAATATTTGTAAATATATATTAATTACAAAACATAAATCCTACGTTTCTTTGTATACACTTCATTTTTGTTTTTAGCTGTGCTTTACTAATTACAATTATCAAAAATACATTTATTAATAATGTTTTTTTAATTTTTTTATTGTAATCAAATAATTTTTACTATAATACATTTCATAATAATATAATGATAAATACTTCTAATTAATATTATTTATATATTCAAATTCAACAATATTTCAATTTTCTATGCTATATATGATTAAAACTATTTTATAAAAAGTTAGATTATTTGAAATTAAGTATAAATTTTTTCTTTAATTCAGTATATTTTCTTTCATTGCCTCAATTTGGATCATTATTAGTATAGATAATGAAATACAAAGAATGTTATGTGAATATTATAAATTTTAAGAAATTATATTGCCAAATAATAAATGAATTATATTAATAATTTACACTAATAATTTAATAATAGTACATTAATCATTTGAATAATATAATACTTTTTAAATAGAAAAAGAATATATATATTGAAATATTATGTATCCATATTAAATTTAATTTTAAATACATAACTAATAAAGTTTATACAAATCTCTTAACCAGTATTATTGGATATGTGAATGATGACCTTTAACTTTTAGTTGATGATTATAATAACGGATATATTTAAAATTAAAAACTTATAACGTAGTTGAATATTATCTACAAGAAACTTTGACATCGGTTCTTTGAAAATGATACGGCGTAAACATATAATAAATATTGAAGTTTTCACTTCGGCAGATTATTGACAGGTCAAAATGTATTATGAGACTGAATACCTTTTTATGTATTTTAAATTGAATTAGACATATATTGGTAAGATATTGATATCTAAAATTACTTGTAACTATATTTAAACATTTACAACTTCGATTATAAGAATCATAACCAATGATAGAGAATTAATATTTTTTATCATTTATGTAAAATATATTTTGAAATTTATATTTAGAAACATTTTTTTTCTATTTGTTAAATAGAAAAAAAATTACTAATAATCAATAAATTATTCCATATCAAACATAATTTATTAGTTAAAGAAAGATGAATGAAAAATTATTTCTAAAAATGTTAACAATTTAATTATGTATTAAATTATAAAAATACTGTTTTTTATTATAATTATAAAATATTGTATACAAAATTATATAAAGTATAAAAATAAAAATATTTCTTTTATCCTATACTTTGAAAAGACCCTAAATTTTTTATATACAATTTTTCTTATGCATTCATTTTCACTTTCGAAGTTAATTTTTAATAAAGATTTTGCAATAGTTAACTAAAGAGCATGGATGTGATTGACTGATTATTTTCTATCGATCATTTTTTTTTCACGTATAAAATTTTGTTATTAGTTGATATATTAAAATATCAAAAGACATAATAATTAAAATGTATGTATCGATTACTATGTACTGTACGTATAAAAAATTTCTATCAGCGAAAATTATTCAAATTTAATCTATTATATATATGCGCGTGTGCGCGCGCGTGTATATATATATATATATATATATATATATATTTATATGTATATATACATATATTAATAAATATAAAAGAAATTAATTATTATTAAAAAATTACAGTGAAATTATTAAGAAGGAACCTGAAATATAAAAAAATCTTAAAAGACAAACCATAATATGACAATGAAAGGACAAATATTTGATTCTAATTGCTTAACGCTAACACGATATGTTTTGGCAGAACAGCGAAAAGCGCCAAATGCCACAGGTGATCTCACACAATTACTAAATAGCATTCAAACAGCTGTGAAAGCGGTTAGTTCAGCCGTAAGAAAAGCTGGTATTGCCAATATGTAAGTTATATTAATTTTTATTTTTATCTTTATTCTTTTCATTTTTTCATTAATATAAATTTTGAGAAATATTATCATCAGAAATATTATCAAATTTAAAAACTTCATTTAAATCGCCATAAATTTGCTAAATAAAGTAATTAGAATTATAGTAAATATTAGAATATGAATATATTCAATTAATAAATTTATTAATTTAAATTATTTCGATAAAAAATTTTAATTTATATAATTTAAAACATAATTTACTAAATGATTCATTATCATAATTTCTAATATAATAACACATTGAATTTCTATATTATATAATTTCGATAGCTTAAAAATTCTCATAATACCATTGATACCATTGATAATACCATTGATTTATTATTCAAACTTTACAAATTGAGAATAAACTGTTTAATAATTCTATTTGTATCTATTATAATAAATTTTAACAGAATTCCATAAATGTATACAAGAAATCAATTAATTAGAAACAAATTAATCAGAAGATACATGAAATTTATAAAAATGTTTTAATTTTATTTCTTTCTAAATATTTTATTAAAATGTATTCTTATAGAGAAATTCTTATTGTAAATAAATTAGTCAATATTGGCGATCAATTGGCTTTGATCTGCGATGACCCTTGAAACTATGTGGATAGATTTTATACAAAAAATACAAGAGAATAAATAATTTACATGAAAATATTTTATGCTATGCATAAAAAAATAAGATTATATGTGAATGTTTATAAAAACTATATTAGAGAAATTTATTTCTATGTTCCGTATATTATATATGTGATGTGTTATCAGAACCAAATGTCGCGTATAATGAAAGAAATAAATATTAATAAAATAAATAACTAATTAATAACAATATATATATATATATATATATATATATAAATTTATATAACATTTATTTAAATAATAACAAAATTCATTAATATTAAGAATTTCTTTAAAAAGATGTTAATTAATAATGCAAATTGTAGTTTCAAGGTAGCTCTAAGGTAACTATGAATGTATAACTCCTTTTACAAAGTGTTCAAATAATTTAGATAAAAGTAGAATGGGTAAAAGATAACAATTTAACATGATTATAATTTAAAATTTTCGCAAATTTTATGATACACTACTGAAAATCTTGTCATTCTTAAATAAGTATGTATAAAAATAGCATAAAGTATTTAACATGAAATTACAAATATTTTAGGTTTAATGTTATTATATATATATATATATATATATATATATATATATATATATATATATATATATATTTCATACAAAAATTGCATAAAAGTGTATGCATCTTTAATATAATTTTTTATAATTAATTAACACTTGGATGACAAATACTGCTTGAGTAAAATATTAAATCATAAAATTATTTTTAAATTATTCTAAAAAATATTCATAATTTATTAATCACTTTGTGATTATATATATATTCTTAAGTATATATATTTTATAGTAAAAATCTAAATAGTTTACTAATATTTTTATTATTTAATTAATAAATTTAGATTTCTGTTGTGAAGTAACTATGAAAAAAAATATAATTTAGTAAATATTCAAATATTTAAAAATAATACTATCAAAATAATAAATGTATTTTTTATTTAAAAACTCGACATTTAATGAAACTTAATAGGTACGGAATAACTGGTACAACAAATGTCCAAGGCGAAGAAGTCAAACAACTAGATATATTAAGTAACGAACTTTTTATTAACATGCTTACCTCTTCATTTACCACTTGTCTACTTGTTTCTGAAGAAAATCCAACAGCCATTGAGGTACAAATGCAAAACCGCGGAAAATACATTGTGTGCTTCGATCCGCTCGATGGCTCTTCAAATATTGATTGCCTTGTCTCCGTTGGTTCAATATTTGGTATTTATAAAAAAATGGATGAATCTAAACCTGTTAGCCAAGCAGATGCTCTTCAGCAAGGCAAGCATCTAGTAGCGGCTGGTTACGCATTGTATGGCTCAGCAACCATGATGGTACTGTCTATCGGTCATGGAGTTAATGGATTCACTTATGATCCAGCTATTGGAGAATTTATACTCACTGAGAAAAATATGAAAATACCTTCTAAAGGAAGAATATATAGGTGATTGTTTTACTAGTACATACGTTTGCAAAAAATTTATATAGCACATTAACAAATTTTTCCTTTATAATTAAATATATAATATAACTTTAAATTTCATAGTTACTGCGTAAAACAGTACAAAAGAGAATGGACCTTGTATGCATCAGAATAATTATAGAAGTTTGTTTTAATATACATGATCATTGTTCACAATTGATCCTACTTAGATTTGCAATGAAATATAAAAGAAATGTCGGAAATTAATAAGAACAATTTAAAAAATAAAAAGTAGGTTTATTTATTCACTTAAAAGAAATATTTAAAAGTATTCAAAATTATGTTTCAGCATTGTATAAGTACAAGATTGTATCGATAATAATATTAATATATTAATGATTTGCTTTAAATTATCTGGTTTAATATATTTGGTATATATAAATATTGACAGAAAATGCATAAAAACATTTTATTCTTTTAAAAATATTAGAATACAATACTAAGGTTGTATATACTGCCGAACATAACGTTTTAAATTAATTTTTCATTCTTTTAATTTAAATTCATTTATAGTTAATTGCTTATATTGTTTGCTTTTTCTATCGTATATGATAAACAAGTTTTTACACATTAAAATATTTTAAAAAAATAAATTGTAGTAAAGAAAAATATTCGCTAACTACTAAATACTAAACTTATATTATTTATTTTTAGCAATTTTTAGAATATCATAAATTTAAAATTGTATATAAAAAACACATTTATAAAAAACATTATAATTTAACATATATATATATATATTTATATAAACCCAGAAGATTAATATTATAACTACATATTTTTAATATTTAAATGGTTATTTACATGTATTAACATATATAATTATTTTTATTTTCGGTTATTTATTTTATTATTTATTTTAGTATAAATGAAGGAAATGAAAAATCGTGGAGTAATGCCATTAAAGAATACATTGATTTAAAAAAAAAACCATTATCTGGAAAACCATATGTAGCTCGTTATGTGGGTTCAATGGTTGCTGATGTTCATCGAACTATCAAATATGGAGGAATTTTTATGTACCCTGCTATAAAAGATAATCCTAATGGCAAAGTAATTTGAAGACTCAAAAGAATTTAGACGATAAATATGTAAAATCTAAAATATTAACGTAATTGATTAATTTTCAGCTTCGTTTACTTTATGAATGCATTCCAATGGCATATATTGTTAAAGAAGCTGGTGGTGCTGCATCTAATGGAGAGATTGACATATTAGATATTGTACCTGAAGATATTCATCAAAGATCACCTATTTTTCTGGGTTCTAGTGAAGATGTTGCAGATGTATTGAATTGCATTAAGAGGTGTAAATAAATATTTATGTAGACTATATAAGGCTTTTATCTTTTTAAAAATTGTATAACGTATGAGTAATAAATTATTTAAAGTTAATGTAATCACAGTAAAATGCAATGTTTTTCTGTATTTTCAATAGAGGTCTTAGTGTATTGATCTTGTGAATCCACTTATTATAAATAACTTTTGTTTTTCTATTTTGATTTATAACAACTATGGCGAGATATTATTTCCTAAAAACATATTTATTTTAACTAATATAGCAATATTACTTCTTATGATAATATTCAATGCTAGTTAAACTTACTATACTATCATGATAATAATAAAGTACTTGTAAAATTTTTAAGAGAAAATGTATCTAAATGAATCGAAGAAGAAATTTAAATAATTATATTTCTAAATTATTAAATTATTGTTAAATTTAATAATTTAGAAAATTAAATTTATAAATCATGTGAGTGTATGAATAATTAGTTTTCTTTTATTTATTTTATATACTTTTGCATATAAAAAATTAATCAATATATATTATTTATATAATAATAGAAATATGTAGCCTATAACACAATTCATTACGGTACTATTGAAAAACCAAAAACAAAAAACATGTTTTCGTATACTTTCGATTCTCGGCACCTTTCTTTCTTTTGATTTGTCAGTTTTATTGAGAATTGTCTATTAATAAATAAAAAATTTCTTTTTTTAGTTAGAAATGTTTACTGAATTACAATTAAATATATATTAAGTCTAAATATAAAATATAAATTTTATGTATATTAAGTCTTTATCACTTTATACTTTACCAAACTTAAATTTTACATACATGGAGTGCAATCAACACTGCTTTTTTCTATTTTGTACTTCTGATTAAATATCTTTCCGTTTTTATTCATAGTTCAAAACCGGATCATACTACATCTAAAAATACGTATTTTAACAAATAAACTATGATTAGATTGTGTAATCTTTTATGTTAAAAATAATGTCTTATTATAAAATTTTATATTCAAAACAATTTTTAAATTTATTTTCCTGTTTTCATTTCTCTTTACTTTAATTTAATTCATAATATAAATAAAATCTAATAAAACGACGAATAATAGAAATCCAGTAAAATAGAATAAAAAATAAAAACAATTTATCGCATAAATAAATATTTACTATTATTTCTTTAAATAATAGATATAATTAGTATTATTTTTTTCTTATATATAAAATTGCAATTTTATATTATGTCACCACAAGAGTAATTCTATTTTAGCTAAAATACATATATTTCCTATATCTTATATTTTATTAATACTGTAATCAATTTGAAAATAATATATTTTTTATAATAAAATTTATATTCAAATTTACTCTGATCTATATAACTCAAATATAATTTTTTAAAATTTGTTATATACAAATCTTAATCTTATCTGTATATAATTTCATCATAATTTATTAATAAATTTTATAAAAGAATTTTAAAAATTAATTAATTTTTATTTTCTGTATATTTACAATTTGAATATTTTATATTAATTGAATTATAAATTTAAAGCTTCTAGTGATTCTTTAATATGATCGTTTTTAAACTGATATATAGATACATTATGTATCAAGATACAAGAACAATTTACTTAATAAGAAATAAATTTTATATATAGCAGGATTTTTTTGGATTTATTTTAAATTAATTTGGAACTAAATGTTTGTTTGCATAACAATAAGAACATTTTTACTGAATTTTTTGTATATAAAATTTATGAAAAATAAATATTTTTTGCTTTTGTTTAAAAGACGATATTATATTATATATATATATAAAAAGAAATAAATTAAATAAATATAGTATTTCATACAATTAAATATAAATAAAATATAATAATTCAGAAATTTAAATAACATTTGAATATTTGTTTATAGAAAATTTTAATTTATTATGAAGTTACTATATACGTTTAATCAACATTCTAATGGAAATTATACATTAGTAGTAAATTTAATATTACATACACATGAAATATAAAAATAACAATCCATAATTTACATTATCTAACGAGAATAATTTTCATTTATTATATTTTCAAAATTATAAAATGAAGATAACATTCAATTATGTATAACGCATTATTTAGTTCTTATTTCCATTTTAAATACATTTGATCTAATAAATTATAGATAATAATTTTATATGGTTTAGGATGTTAAATAATAATAACCAATTTCGTAATTATTATATTAAATGTTTATTTTTTTAATACAATTTTTATTTCTAAAAAGTGTTTTATAATCTAATTTTTATTAATTTATCACTATATAATATTTCATTAAATCAAACATATAGTTAATACTAATTTAATAAGAATTTTATTAATACACATTAATTCTATATTAAACTTTTTATGAATGGAACACCATTTATTAATTATAACTTATTTATAATAAATATATCATATTTTATAGTTTACTCGATCATGATCATTATTAAAGTTATTTTAAAAAGAAATTTGTATAATATTATAAAAAAATTTGAAGGGAAATTTTTACTTTACTTAAAAAAAGTTAGTTTAATTATTGATTTTCCATCACTATCTGTTTTGAAAATTTATATTATTTTTTGCAATAGAATGATTTGCTACATATATAATATCGAAATCAGAAAATACTTTTAACATTTAAATGTTTTTTTTTAATATTATAAGTATTTTAATTATCCAGATGATTATTAAAAGTTAAATTTTATTTCTTATAAAAAAAAATTAATTTTTATTGTATTTATGCTAATATTTTTTATCCTTAATTATTGTTATATCAATATATATCATATCATAATATTTAATTAAAATAAATTAAAATTATTTAGAATGATATCGGGCATCACTAGTTTCTATGATTATATTATTTTAATTTAATATCACATTTTTATCAAGATTAGTGTAAAATTTGTATTACATATGGAAAATAATTGTAATAATGTTTAAAGACTTATTTATAATGTTTAACTTTATACAAAGTATTTTAATATTTTAATAAAAATTGAAATGGTGAACATTCAATTTTTAATGTAAACAAAATATAAATAAACCAATATTAATAAAAACTTGAGAAAATTTAAAAACATAATATGAAATTTATAGGATTATATGAAAATAAAATAATAAACGAATCTTATATTATTATTATTATTATTTATCTATTGATTATTACTTTTTTAATGTTTTTACATTTTTGATTATATTTAAAATTATTTTTATATAAATTTGAGGTTGTATGTATTAGTAGCAATAACAAATTTTCAACATGGAACAATGAATTTGATTTATAATTTTTAATACTATAAATAAGTTTAATTCACATAAAATATTGTTTAGTTTACACTGTAGTTATTAAGATTAATGTTAAATAATTAATAATTATTTTCATTTCCAATTAAATTAGACATAATTTAACTCTTGCACATTTAATTAATATATTACCGAAATTAGTTTGTGTTTATTAATAGAATTAAAACATACAATTTATTTTTATTAATCTTTTAGCGGGAATAAATTAAGGTATATAAAACTTGCAATAATTAATTTAAGATTTGTTATCTTCATTAATCATTAATATTAATTTTAGAGTTAATATCAGAATTGTTCAAAAATATTACTATTACTTTTCAAAAGATTAAAATTTAACCAAAAATAACATAATCTGAAATTTATATAAATATTTAAATACTTTATATAAATTTGTAACAATTACATTATACTTACTGTAGATATTTCACTCTATATATTAAAATCAATTTGAATAAATGAATTAATTTTGTTAATGATCCAAAATTCGTAAATTTCCTGAAACTATTTTATTTTCTAAAATTGTGCCTGATGGCAAATCTATTCTTTCCCCTTGATTAGCAATAATAATTACAGTTCCTTTCAAAGTAACATTTCTACCAAATGTGACATCACCAGAGACAGTCAAATGATCTAATTCCAAAATATCAGGAATTGTTGGAAATCTAGTTAAAAACTGTTTGACCTACATAAACATTTTAGATAAACTTTAATTTATTCCAATAATGCATTTTTCAGTTTTTGTTAAAAAAATATGTAGCTATAAAAAATTACCTTTGAAAAATGATTATCACCAAGTTTAACTAATGGTGTTGTCGGAAACATTCGGTTAGGAGACATATTTAAGGAGCCGTTACGTAATATATACAAATTACTCATTACAAGTAATAAATCCGACGTTTTCTTTACTGGTAAAAATCTACTACGTGAAACATGAATACCTAAGATAAATAATTGCGATTAATATTTCATTATGTTATCTAAAATTATCAGTTAAATACTTTCATAATATTAAGTTTCTAGAGTAACAATATAAAATTAACGTGAAAAATAATATTTTAATATTTTATGTATTAATATAAATTAAATACTATAATTTCTGATTTAAAAATTATTTTCATAAAATTGAATACAATTGTAAAATATTAAAATAAAAATTAACTAATAGAAATAATAACAAATAATTGAAATATTAGAAAACAAATTTCAAAAGTGAATTAATGCTTATTAATAAATGTGAAGAAAAGCACATTGAAATTTTTTTTTACAATGATATCAAAAATAAAAACATTACAAGAATATCTATCTGAGACCACATAGAATTTAATAGTTCATTTTACTTTCTACAAACGATTTTAAATTCATTAAAATAATTTGTAGAAAGTATGTTAAACCCTTTGCATTCAAAATAAAATTTATTTTAAAAAGATAAATGCTATCTTTTGTTTATGTTATGTTATGTTATGTCTTTTGTTATAATAGTAATACAAATATTCAATTATATAATACGAAAAACTAAAAATAATGAAAATAAAAAAAATCTCATACTGTATAATTATATACAAACCACAACTTCCATTAAATGTTTTCATGGCAGCTCCTACTGCAGTTTCAAGTTGTATTACATTTAATCCATTTTCAAAAGTTTTATTATTAACTATTATATCCAAATCAAGTGCATCTTGTCTTAAAACTCTATGAATACCTTCAATTAAAATTTATTTTACTTTTTAAAACGTTTTTCACATCTGTCTCAAGTATATAATACAAATAATTAATTATTTAATAAATTTATCAAAACTTAAATTTCATAACTTTTCAATTCTAATTAAATAAAAACAAAATTCGACATACAACTATACAAACAATTTATATATTTTTATTTTAATTGCCAATAAAAAGTTATGAAAATATAAAAACATTAAAAGATAAATATAAATTTATAAATTCCACTTAATATTAATTTAATAAATTAAAAAAACAATAATAAACAATACATTAATTTATTTAGCAATGTTAAGATCTTATTATATTTTACACTTTTTTTTCGTTTTGTTTTTTTCTTCTTTGTAGTTTGAATCATCTTACTTAACAATAAATATCTAAATTATTTATTGAGTTAAACATTTAACATAAATATTATATTTTCCGATAAATATTATTCAAAATTAAAATTAGCAAGTAATATTACAAAAATGATTGCTAATAAAATAAATTTAAAGTGTTCATATTAAATTCTCTTACCATCAAGTTTTATCCATAAATTATTTGTATTAAAATATTTAAATGTTTTAACGGATTTGAAGTCTTCAAAATGTTCTTTAGGAACTTGGGCAATTTCAAGCAATCTAAGCTTGTTTTCATATTGGATAAGTGTGCCACCCTACAAATTATATCAACATTCATTTTTCAATTTTCTTAATCTCCAAACCTAAGACTAAAGCGCTTTATTATATATACGGATGAAATAACATCATAATTTGTAAATAATATTTTATACTTTAACATCTGCTCTTGTTTTATCTGTAACTTCCATGAGAAACTCAATTTCTGCAGTTTTATATGGTCCTAATAATAATTTAAGGATTCTTAAGTCAACAGTGGCTCCTAAATTATCAATATTAGATATAAAACAGTACTGACGTCCCTAAGAAATTATAAAAGGTATTTAAACATACATAAATTGTAGTTTTTAAATTAAAAATTAAAAATACAATTACTCGACTTAAAAACAATTTCAATAAACCAGAATTACGAAAACTCTCATAAAAATCTCCGTGACCTGGCGGATACCATCTATATAAAAATGAAAATTATTTGTTGTTAAAAACTTTCTAAATGAAATTATTAAAATGTAAAATAAATATTCAATAGACAAATATGATTTCTCAGTGTATTTAAATGATTAACAGATTTGGCTGAATTTAATTTAATACCAATTTAAATTTTACATTATTTAAAATTTTATATAAATTAAAAGCCTTAGTTGTAATTCAAATTTAATTGATTTATCTGAATGTATAGAAATCGGTTTAAACATAAATATTTACATTTAAAAATTTTGAAATAACTTAACATAATCGATAATAATAAACATTAATATTATTATTACTTTTCAAAATATTATCATAGGCTACAAATTAGTCGAATTCATTTTAATTAAAAAATGAAAAATGTTATAAAATACTCACGCCTCCATATCATCGTTTATTCTACTATGCTTTGCAATTGGTAGTAGGGATTCTTTATTTATGCGAGGATAACAACTTTGATTAAATGTATGAATCTCAATATCAATTCCTTTATATTTTCTGATAATTTTTTGAGTATCGTCATCAGTATTGAATGAATTCATTAAAACTAGAGGAACATTTGAACCATACGTTTTGTTTAAATTCTGAAATTCATAGTTTATTCATATTAACTTACAAAAAATTCTAACTTTTCTAATATAATATATTCAATATATTATCATAAATTTTGAATAATCCTAAATATCCTTTCAATTGTTTCATTTTTAAATTATGATTCTAAATAAAAATTTGTTTATTAAAACGCATTTATATTTAAACTATATTTATATTATAATTATGTAATTATGTAATTTTGCACTATGTTAAGAAACAAAGAATTATTTATTTTAATTTTACTGATTTATTACCATTTAAAGTTATTCAATTTACATTAATTTAATTTATAACACATACTTATTTTAAAATCTAATTATTTGAATTTTAAAGATTAATGAATACTCAGAAAAACTTATGAAAACTTTACGATTTGTAGTAGTTCTATGCATTGAATGAAAACAAAATTATTCACAGTCAATACATTATTTAAATATTATTAAATATATTAGTCTTTATAATATATAAAATAATAATTTAATTATTGGTAACATTATTAAATATTTTATATTATTTCTATGAAAAATTATATAAAATAAATTATATAAAATATGAGTATGTTACTTCAGTTTTATAAATAATTTCAAATGAAAAATCATTGTATTTTTCGAAACCATTGATAATTTTATTTTATTGCATTAAAGTGGCGTGTTAACATGATTTTCTCCTACAAAATAAAATCAGTGTTATCAAACTAAAATGATAAGAAAATCACTGCTGGAATTATTATATATAGCAAAGTGATAAGCGGTAACACTGATATACTGATATAGTTAAGTGATCCAAAGCAACCTCTTCAGCTCCGATATCCATTTAAATAAACATAACGGAAACATAATTTAAAAAAAATTAAAATTAATTTCAAATTTTAAATGTATTTATGTTGCTTTAGATTTTTAAATTATATAATTATAGAATTTAAATCGTAAAATAAATATGTATAGTATATTATATGTATTTATATTATAGTATATTTATGATATTATATTCGATGTATAATAACAATGTTCTATAATGATATTCAAGGGAATATATTTAAAAATCTTCGGTTTATTTGTATGTTGATTAAATAATATAAAGTATTACCTCCAACTGCTGTACTGTTAAATCTAAAAATGTAAGGCCATTACGAACAGTTATGACAGATTTTGGTCCATGGCAGCCCATACTTGTCCCAAGACCACCATTTAATTTTATGACAACTAATCTACTCAATAAATATTTTATCTCTTCTGATTCTGTAGGATCTGGAAGATCATTATAATCTTTAATCTAGAATTAAACAAATAAATATTCAAATACAGGATTAAATTAAACACTTTATTTTTATTATGTATTTTACCATTTAATTTACGCTCGTATTCAAAACTACAACAAATTAAAATTATATTTTTAATGTATCCATATTTTTAAATATTCTGTTTTTAAGAAATGTTTTTAATTTTTCACCTACTATTATGGTTTAACTGTCTCAAGAATGCATATTAAATATATATTATATACACGATGATTAGTTTTAGATCGTTTAATATTTCCATTCTTATATAATGACTTTGAGAATCTGAATATTTTTCAATACGATAAATAATTATTAAGAATTTCAATTATTGAGCAGGTTTATTTGTCGTTATGTTTCAACATTCCAGTGTACAAATTGTTAATTAATCTCGAAGAATTTCGTCTTCATTTTATACAATTCGTCAACAATATAGAGATCGTTTAGAATATATTATAAATGATCATTTATACGATGTTAAATCCTATTTAATAACCAATTAATAATTACATTAATTATCAGAACTCGACAACTATAAAATTAAGCTTCAAATTAAAATTCCTTTTTTTCTATTTACTTTAACATAATTAACACATTTTTTTAATTATTTATGTAACTAGCATTCTAAAAAACATTACGTGATTAAGAATTTATTAAATAATATTTTATCCAGAACTTACATTTTATTTAATAAATAATAATAAAGGAAAATTGATATTTAAATTTGTAATTTATTATATTTATTAAATATTTTTAAATGTTAGTATTTTATATCACAATGTTATATTGCAAATATATTGCAAATTGTATTGTATTATACATATTTTCTATTGCAAATTAATTCAACGATTTATATATCGAATATTTTATAATATTTCACGTATGCTTTGAAATTATTTTTGAAGGTACGGAAAATTTATACATTCCTGTTAGATACTTTTAAAGTATTATTAAATAAATAATAATCAATACTTTATTCTACAAATAATGTAAATGTTTTCAATTTAATTTAAAAATTAGAAACAAAATAATATGAAAAAATCATAATTTCCGTATATAATATATCCAACAATAAAAGTTTATAATAATAATAAAAAAATAAAACTTACTGCGTCATTCGGCAATTTTTGAATTTTATCCCAATCTAATGAAGATCCACCTTCCTCGAGAAAACGTTCAAAAAGTTTTTTAAATCCATCTTGTTGTTTTTCAATAGTTTGTTTTTGATCCTCTGGAGTTGTAGATAAGATATTGCCAAGTTCGGTTTGAAGATCAGCCAATGCATCACGCTTAGTTCTTTCTTTAAAAGCTTGTGTATCTGACGGGCTGCGCTGATGACTTCGTATCTGAAATAGTGAAAATATTTCATATTCGATCGTATATAATCAATAAAATTTTTGTACCTTTCTAGCAAGAAAATAATTTTTTTCTGCTAAAAATATAAGAATACAGACAATACACTATAGTTATAAATAAAATATTTATAAGAATTTTGATTTTTATAAATTTATTATTAATGAATTGTTGTTTGTTTAAAGTATTTGAGAATATTTTTTAATTCAACAAATAATAATAATATTAATACATTTTTAACTAAAAATACTGTTTATACTATATTTGAATATACCTATTTTTGGTATACTTATGTACATTACGTTTATTACGAATAGATAAAAGACAGGAACTGATTCATAAGTTACTTTGTTATAATGCGAGAATACTTTTATAAAATCGAACTCCTTTTTAATAAGAAATATAATAATACATAAATATGTGTTTCTTTATTTGTTGGCAAAATTAATTTTATACAAATTAAATAAAAATGACTATTACCGAAAAAAAACATAATTTTACTCATTTGATAGTATACTAATTTAAATATTCACTAAAATCTATTTATTTAATTTATTTAATTAAAAACTATTCAAATAATTTTTTAATCTAGATGTACGTTATACATACTTATTACGTAGGTAATATGCATTAAAAATGTGAATGTTTTAAATGCAATTAGAAATTATTCTAGCAGACAAAAAAATTCAAGTTACACTATTTCTATACTTTTACAAAATTATCCGTGTATTTTATAATATATTTTAACTGCAAAGAAATCAAATTTCGTGACATATAAAGGACAGATATACTTAACAATGAAAACAATACCAGAATTATAGAATGTAACAAGTGGTTAGCTTAAACGAAAATAGCAAGAAATACTTAGAGTAATATAGAAAAGCGTTTAATTATATCAGATTTCAAATACTATTATATCTGCATATTGTTGCTTTAATAACATGTAATTAAAGCAGCAAAATTGAAGAATAAAGCTTTTGAAATACTGAAATCCTCTAGTATATAATACGAAGTTAAGACCTGCAGTAAAAATGAAACAAATATTCAATAGATACTATGTTCCACATTCAAATATCTTTCATATAATCAAATAATCTCTATTCTAAGTTCTTCGTGTCTAATATGTTCTTAAGGTAGAAAAAAGTTAGAACTTATGACGATTATACAACAATTAACTACTTAAAGCACGTCTATTTAACACAAGCATTAAAACGAGCAAATATATTCATATATATGTAGGTGCCCTATTGCCGGAAAATAAAATATTTTCAATTGAAGTAAAGTATTAATTTTCACAAAACTAAATGCTTAGTGATGCATAAATTATTAATCGATACATAATTTCCTCGATCGAAATATTAATTTATACGATTTTTTTTTCAATAATTAAACAAAATATTATATATAAACAGTTTTAAATATAATTATATAAGAATTTAATTAACCAAGTCAAAAGATTGTTCGACAATAAATAAAAAAGGTACTTCGATTGTGTTTAATTTGTTAATAATAATTACATTTTATATAAAAATATTATTCAATTAAATGCAAGGATAACTAAGGATAGTATAATTTTATACTTTTTTTATATAGTATATTTATTTTAAAACGTTATATATGCTTTATTATAAAATAGCAAAGTATTAAGATAATTATAAAATAAAGCTACTTTATTTTACAGGAATTCGTACGACCGATCTATTATTATAAAATTGTATTTAATTATTTTCAAACTTGGAAAACAATCTGAACATTAAAAATATTATATTATAAAACGTAAATATTATTTATTATTTATCATATAGCCTTATGTAAATTTTTATATTGCACATATATAATGTTTCAAATATTTTCTGATTTTATTTAAGTATGTTAATTTTAATTTTTTCAAAGTATGCTATAAAATTAAAAATTATAAAAATAAAATATTAACCATAAATGTAATAAGAGTAAAACTGCGTCATTTATTTAAGTTATATAATAACAATTTAAAAATTTATTTTTGATAAAAATCATATAATATTCTAAAAGACAGTTATTTTATTCTGTAAAAAGTTAAAATTATTACATAAATATATCCATTAATTATTGTATACTAAATTTCAGAATTATATTGTTCCAAATATGTTATAAATTAATTGTAAAAATTTTATGTATATTTAAATGTTCTATTTTATAGAAAAATATAGTTAAATTCAAAACTATATAACTTTATTATTATATTCATTAAAATACAAAGAAAATGAATAATAAATAAATAAATTTTTAAATTAGTAAATTAAAAAATAATAGTTCTAACAAATTAAAAAATGTTAATCACATTAGCAGCGTAAAATAAAAAAAAATTCAAATATATAGTAGTACTAACAATATTTAGCTAAAAAAATTAAAAAATATAATTTATATTTCTATTGCATTGCAATGAAAAAGTATAAATTATTAATATAAATATTATTATAAATTTCCTTCAAATTTTATATTTATAACAATTCTTTCTTCATTTTTAATCAAATTAATACATCTAGTAAAATTGTTTCGTATCTGTAATGACGTAATAACAGATAAATTTTACACATTGTGTATAACACTTTGGAAAGTTTGCATGCATTATTAAAGTAAAAACGTACTTTTTCAAGTAATTAAATGTAATAAAGTAGGCTTTTTATTTATTATTTTGAATTTTCTTAGTTTATTTATTCTTAAATTTAAAATAAAGTTTTATTAATAATTTCCAAATTTATTAATTATTAATCAAATCCAAACCAATATTTTATTAAATGTTCAAAGATACATATTTTATAAAATGTTTTTAATTAATCATAAATTATCTAACATAATATATTAATTATTAATTATAATACATTAATTATAAGTTTAATATTATTGGTTGAAATGAAAATTACTAAAATTTTGTGCAGTTAGAAATGACTGGACGTTAATTTACGCGCAATAAATTACACAAATATCACATACATCCATCCATATTACGTTTGCAATAGATCAAATCTGATACTCACGTAAATGTTATTTAGCAAGTATTCCATTGTGTTAGTAGACTTCCAAGGTCACTGAGTTTTGAAAGCACTTGATAATGTAATGGCACTCAACGCATAAAAATAAATCCTTGAATAAGAAACGTTACTATGCCCTTTGCGCATACGAAATATAAAAATTAAAACTTAATCAGTATGACACTCTACAAGTGACTAATCCTAATCTCAGACCAACCACCGTAGAGCGCACGTGGCTTTACACGGCGACTGCTCTTTAGAAAGCGTGAGAGCAAAAGAGGAGATGAGCCACGACGCCGTGTGTGAACGATAAGTAAACGACAGAGAGGAGGAGAGAGAGATGAGAAATTAAAACAAGCTTTATTTCAACGTCCAATCCCACAAGCCGCAATCGACGAAAGAGAATGGAAAAGGATGAGTTGTATATTGCTAATAGCTCGGCGACAATCTAATAAAAATTTACTTTGGGCCTTGTATTCTTCATTTTTAGATTTGACTTGATTCAACAACTTTTCTCTTTCTGTATAAAACAACATTTTACATTACAAAGATAAAAACTTTCCATCGCTATATTGTATTATATTTATTATAAGTTAGTTTCTAGGGAATATGACAAGATACAAAAAAATATTCAATCAGAATAAGAAAATGAATTCATTAAATTTTTCTACTAAAATATGTTTTTAAAAGTCTAGCATTTCATACGTCATTTCGAAAACTTATATGTTCATATTACATATGTCTATATTGTTTTATAATATGTTTCCTACATAATGTAATGTGTCATTGATTATCAATGCATACAAAATGACCGTCATATATCTTTTCGTCTGTCATAAAAATCTTATAATAATATAAACGATATGACAGTCAATTTCAGATCGTGACCTGAATAACACCCGCCTTTAATCACTATATTTTAAAATTAAATTTCATAAAAAACGATATTCATTCGTTGACCACCTTAAATTAATTAAAATGTACTTTAATAATTAAAATTATTCGATAATTAAATTCTTGGTCGTGAATGTTGACTGAATCCAAACAAACGTCAACCAGTATTATCATAAATACAAGAGGTCAATTGAATGTATTTCAATTTAAATATACATTAATTTTTAATAATATTTGCAATTGCTATTTAAATACATATTAATAATTTTTATATTGATATAAATAGATATAATGTCATATTATATATAATTAAATATCGATTATAATATTAATAAATATTAAACATATTATTAATTATTTTATAATATGGTGTAGATTATTAAAAATCTACATTTCATCGAAAAAAAAATTTGTTTTGTTCTCAACTGGATATTTAAATAACTAATAATTATTGTATCAGTCACTAGTATTATCAATAACTAGTATCCCAATTATAGTTATCTAATAGGAATGTAAAACTAGTTTAGTTAAATATTGAATCTTCTTATTAATACATATGCTATCACATATTTTTTTATATTTATTATTTATTTTAATTCATCTTGTTTTTAAATAAACAAATAATTTTTATGTGTGAAAAGTATTTAACATAATTTTTATGAGAATATTCGAAATGTAAGTATTAAATATATAAGAAAGATATAAAATTACACTGCAAATATGTCTAGCAACTATAAAATACAAGTATGTAAACATGCCAACGTACTTTTAATCTAAATTAATTTTATTTAAAGTTCAACAATATTATAAATGATTTTAAAGTACATATTTATATAAAGTTAAAATAAAAATTTATAAGTAGATGAAAGAAATTTATTAACACAAAATTTTCAAGTAAGATATATATAATATAATATTTTTTAAAGAAATTCACCTTGTTATGATTTATCTTTCTTCTACATCTTGATAAGGGTTTTAGTATACAAGAAAGGATTTTATGTATTCGGTCTCGAAGCAATAAATTATTCATCAGATTTGAATCTAAATTTTAATCTAGAATCGGCTATAAATCATCATTATTATATTATATATTGATTACAAACATTATTTGATTTGTTTATACCCACAAGCTTAATATAATTCCTAAAATTGTAATTTTCTGCTGAAATTGTTCGCTTTTTATTCTGTAATTCTAAGCTTTAATATGTTCAAGTTTTTTATTAAATTGTCTAAGTTATTCCTTTAGACTTTATATGTATTCTTCTGTTCTTAGCATGTTTTTAATAATTCGATTTATTGTAATATGCATTTAGTCATTGTAATATAAATTATATTCTTATTCTTATTTTGATGATATTAAGATTGTAAAAAAATTAAATTAATTATACAAATTAGTTCTTAATTATATAGTTATTTAATTATTACTTTAATTTAATTTATTATATTTATTATCTTAATTATACTACTGATATACTATTATTTTTAATATTTTTATAATCAATTTTATGTTTATATTTTATATATGATAGTGTTTTTGTTGTAAATGAATACTGAGATCAAGATTTTTCTAGCTAAAACTTTTTACTTTAAAATCAGAATGGCCTGTTAAAACTAAAGAAATGTAAGCAAAAGTTTGAGAGTATCTGTAGTTCTTATTTTCTTATGAGTATTGTAATAAAAATGTAAAACACAATTATTAATATTTTTTTAATGTTTCTTCTTATTTTTGAAACAGCAATTTTTTCAACTGAAAATTAGTTTTAAATGTCAGTTACGATATTATAATAATAAATAATAATAATCAATTTTTATAAAATTAATATTTGTAATAAATCAGTATAAGATAGGTATTATATTGTTATTCACATAATTTAGTATTTACGTAGTTTGATTAGTAAACTTATCTCTATCAATTATTATTATAATGAATTAAGCGCATTAAATTCGTTAGTGCTATTCTTTATATTCATTAATTAGTCTTAATCTATATTTGGTGTAGGACTAATATTAATATGTTTATGGCATTATTATGGCAATTGATATATATATTAATACATTTTTATAAAGTTAATAAATTTAATTATTATTCTAATGTTATTTAATATACTAATTCAAACGAACATACTTTTAAAGACAATTTTCTCAAGATTTTCATTTATTTATAAAATAATTATATATATATATTGTAATATATTTAATTTAAGTCAAACAATGCGTATATAAATTTATTTAGTAAATTTTTATTTTTTCAGGCGTTCAAGTTTAATAATGCCAATATTAATAGTATTTTCAAATATATACGAATGAATATTTAACCCACTAAACTATATTTAGACTTTAATTTTATCCATCAAATATGTTATCAATTCAAAAAATAAATTATACAAATTAATTAGTACTTTACAAACACTAATTATTATAATAAATAATATTAATTAAAAAAAAAATTTTAACAACAAATTAGAATTACAAATGCACGATTTTCATTCGAAAAAGGTCTTGTCTTATTCAAAGAAAAATCTAACAAGACTGTACTCAAGATCTCGTGCATCAATGAGTATCAGAAGGTTGTACTACAAATTAGAATGTTGTTTGCTTTAGTAAAAACTCCCATATTATGTATGTCGCAACTTTTATGTTTGGAAACATGCTTAAGAATACAAGTATTTTTAATATATGTTACAAATACGACCAGCGTATTAATATTAGTACAGTATTTTGTGTGACCTGTTCCCCTTAAACAATAAATAAAGTTTTTAAGCTATAACCATTATTACCGGTATTCAATTGAATAACGAAACTACGCTAAACTTTCGACATAAACAATATTTATCAAATGAAGTTTTCATCATTTTTCAATTGATTATTAATGGATTAATAATGGATTCCTATTTGGATGCGATTAACGTTTTTTGATGTCTCAATCTGCACCTAATTCTGTTTTCATTTTCTAAAGCATATATCCAACTATCATATATCCAACTAGCATTATCTTTTAAAAGTATAGTAAAATAATGCTGTGGATAAAAATGCCAAACATTTGGTAAATGTTCTGATTAAAACTAATAGATTAATTTAACTAGAACGTACTCATCGACTTGGTTTTTGATTATCTACCAAATATACTTAAATCGTTTTCAATTATTTTATATTTGATCACTACACATGTATGACTTCTATTCGTCTGGTATGTACACTCAGTATAGACGAACTATTAAAATTTATATAACTTATAATCACGATTTTTAGTGCTTGATCAACCTTCGGCTCAAAAATTATATAAGCATCAATTGTATCAACAGTTTAAGAACATTGTTTCATGTGATATTTAATTAATTGAAATTTAATGTATTAATAAATTTTTCAATTAAATCTATAACTACATTTAACGTAAATAGAAATTACATATTATTTGTAGATTTAAAAATACCTTATTAGTATTTTTCTTGACAACTACTATTGGAAATTCATAAAATGCCTAGACATTCTAATTAAACATCAACATCAATCCAAAAACATTTCTTTATAATCTACATTTTCCTTGTTACTGTGCAAAAATCAATATCCTTTCAAACCTTATACAATAATACTTTTATAGGAATTATTTCGATTTTTTTTGACGATTTTAATCTGATAACATAAAATATACACAATACCTTTCACTAAAATCATTCTCCATAAGGCTACTTATTTTAACACTTTGCTTTATTAATAAAACAATTATAATAGGTACATGCAATTTTATTTTAACAGTTCTTTGTGCTTCATATAAGAAATACACAACCAAATATTTTTTGGACAGTTATATTTTACAGAGTTAAATATCTTCTCTGCAATTAATATGATAATAGATATTTAAATAAATATGAGCTAGAATTATACAAACAACTTCTTTTAATTAATAAATTTATAAAAATACTTTGACAAATTTGATTATATTATAAAATAAAATATTTACACTCTAATAATTAAATCTATTTTAAATACAGATTGCAAAATTTTTAATCATAATTACATATGATATTAAAATTTAAATAATATTCTATAATATAAATTTTATAATTGATATATTGAGTAGTATATTTTTAATGATTAAAATTTTATTTTCCTTATTGTAAATAAATATTCAGATTATTATAATTCATACTTAAATTTTTTCATATTGTAGTAAATTTAATAAAATTATTAAATATAAATATATTTATTAAACAAATTATTTAAATACAGGATATAAATCTGAATGTATATATATATGTATAAATTGACAAAGAAAATATTGGTAAAGTTTATATTTTTATCTCTCTTACTATGAGTAAATAACTATATTTTTTTTATTTTTTATTTTTCGCTCAATCTAAAAATATAATAACAAACATAAACAAGATCATAAATTTGCTTTTACTTTTTAAACATATTAAATCATAGTGAAATCTAAATAAGGCATAAAGTTATATAAAAAAATTATTAGCACAGTATAATGAGATAATATTAAAAAGTTAGCATAATACGAATATTCTAATTAATAACAATATGCTTACCTTTCCATCGATGGTACCGAACATTTCAACGATGAATAAACTTAAGATGCTCACAATCCAAAAGTGTATTAAGATTTCAATTGGAGATTCCACTTCGAATTATTAAATTCTCGTATTGCACATTATTATCTTACAACAAATGAAAGAGCAACAATAAAGCTAACCAAAGAATCAGTAAAAATTATAAAAAAAATTTTCCATCTTTAAGAATTATAATGCCTTGAATAAAAAATCAAACATAATATATTTAATCTTTGTGCACGAAAGCATATACATATATAACTTTATATTCAATCTCATATTATAAATTACAAACCTTTATAAAACTATTTTATTTTACTCTTTAATTATTTAATGATCCATAGTTTGTAGATGGCGTAAACATCACATTTTTATTTTATTCTCCCATAAAGGGCGCTGTAATCCTTTTTCCAAATCAATCAACGTTATAAAGGTTAAGTTTAAGAAAAAGCAGCTATCAGATAATAATGTAATTCATTGTATAAACTTTATTAAATATTTATTTGATAAAAAGAAATGACGTCAAGTTATTATTTTGCAATTGTTGGACATGAAGATAATCCATTATTTGAAATTGAATTTAGTAATTCAAAAGATGCAAAGGTTTATATATTGGATAACATTACTTTTTAAAATTATATAAGCTTAGAAATAACACTTGATATACATTTATTCAGAAAAAAATTATGCGAGCCATAATTTTTATATATGTTTATATATGCTTATAGAATGTTTCAAATAATTGCAGAAAGAAGATCATTCTCACTTAAGCCAGTTTATAGCACATGCTGCACTTGATTTAGTAGATGAACATATATGGAAAACTACAAATATGCATTTGAAAGTTGTAGATAAATTTAATCAATGGTTTGTTAGTGCTTTTGTTACTGCAACTCATATACGCTTTATTATGGTTCATGATTATAAAAATGAGGATGGTATAAAAAATTTTTTTAATGAAATGTATGAAACCTATATCAAGGTAATAATTAAAATAAATATTGATATAATTTAATATAAAATTGATTTAATATATTTACATCTTATAATTCTAGTATTCAATGAATCCATTTTATAAACTCAACACTCCTATTAAAGCAGTTGGTTTTGAAAAAAAAGCTCAATTTTATGGAAGGAAATATTTAATGTCATAATATGAAAACATAAATCTAATCAAAAAACTAATATTAAATTATTTATGTAGTTCATATATATTTATATGTACGTAAATATAAAGCTTATATACCTATACATGCATATATATGTGTATATAAAAAAAAATATATATATACATGCGTATACTATAATACTATATTAATTATTAATATTTATCAAGTTGTAAGTATATTAAAATGTCTTCATATGTTTTGTACATTATATTTTACTAATTTAAATTATACATTTATTTAAAAAAACAATTTTTAATAAAATTTACAGAATAGGCTTTTTTCTTATAAAACTAGTGTACCAAAAATATGCAGTACATATTGATAATGTAAACCATGTTACAATATAACTTGTGTGTTCATTTCTAAAATTTATTCTAGTTTGTGATCCTATAGGCATTTCTAATTCATTATTAGATTGAGTCATTTCTAAGTACACTGGTTGAGTTTTAGCAAATTTTGCCATTTCAATAACATCCCTGCAGATAATTAAATTTATTTATATAGAAATGAATTAAAAATACAGTACAAATAAAATTCACCTGAAAGTCCATATTCCTTGTTCAGGTATATTTTTAAATACAAATTGTGGCTTGCTTTCAGTTAATCTATTGATTCCAATTATTTCTACAGATCCTTGTATTTGAAACTTTTTTCTTTCACTTGAACTATTATAATAATTTGGTATCCATCCTCTATTTACAAGAATAATCAATCTGAAATTCATATACTTTTTAATACCAATGCTACAGTTGAAAGATATTACGTAGGCTAAAAAATACTATTTACTCTCTATCCTTAACTTTAAAAGGGGTAATAATATTATATCCTTTATTAACTTCATTATGTGGTATCAAATTTTGCCTTATTTCGCTTGCTGGTTGTCCATTGATAATTAAAGTTCTTGGACCAATAACAAATTCATTGTTGTATAGAAATTCACCACTCACTTTAATTGGGTGATATTCTAACAATGCTAAATCGTTCAAACTAAAAATAATTAATGTTTATAATATAAACAATTAATTTATTATATAATTCATTAAAATTATTTATTATTTATTATCATAAACCATACCTAATTATTATTGTAAAAAACTAAATATTAAGAAAATTCTTTAATTGTAACAAAGAAATCGGGAAAAAATAAAATATGTATAAAGAAACCAATGTGATTCAGAATATAAATTGCTATTAGTCCTTTTTATTGTTATTTATAATTTAAATATATACTTCTCTGGTATTCCAACCGCTGGTTTATGAAATTTCTCTTGGACAGCACGAATTAAATCTAACTTCCATTTTCTTCTTTTTAATTGCCATATACCAAGTCCAAATGATATTACAGGAAAAGACTACAACAATTTAATTATTTTTAAATTACAAGAACACAAATTTATGTTATGACAATATTTCTTACAAGTAATAATAAACTGTATAAATTAACATCTTTGAGAAATTTAGTTTGACTCCATTTAGTTTTCTGTTTATTATCTTTATTTTGACTTTTTAATAGACTAATTTCGATTTGTCTACTTGAGCAACTTCGACTAAAGAACAATGTTGATATATTATTTAATGAATACAGGAAAAAACGTTTTGAAGTATTGAATGAATAATTTTTATTAGGATATCTCCAACAATATATATATAAGTTATATGTTAAATATTTCATTTTTTTATTGTTATAAGAAATATAATTTATGAGTACTTTGTTTAGTTAGATTTCTACATAATATAACTTTAAAGTAATTTTTAGGTTATATCATTCACACAATTCAAGCAGAAAAGCAATACAATTTTCGTATGTTTTATATAGAATAGTCCCAATATTATAGTCCAATAGTCCATCAATGAATTTTGATTATTTGAAACATATTATTTTTTACGTGTTATTGTACATTTTAATTAAAATTTTTAATTAAATTTAAAATATTTTGTATTTTTTATTTGACGTGCAAATTTAATGCAATATTTAAATGCAATATTTTAATGCAATATATAAGAGCCCATAAAAGTTTTTATAAATGTTGGTTTATTTATTTTTCTAGCAGAATAATCAATAAATATATGAAAATATCTATAATAATATATTCTCACCAAATTCATAAATATTATAAAATTAAAATAAATTAATTTTCTAAAATGGGATTAAATTTCTTTTTAATCATATTACAATATCCAATAAACCTACATGTTTTGTTAAAATTAGAACAATCAATAAAATGAATAATCATAATTAATTTTATTTTAATGGATAATATGAACTATTTAAAAAGTTAAATCATTTATATCTAATTTTATATGTAATGAATAAATATTGGATTTGTATTTTACGTAATATGAAATAACACTATGATAAAATGTACTTATAATATATTAATAAATCTTAACATACAACAATAATTCAACAATTCTTATTAACTATCAAATTAATATCAATAAGTTGACAAAATTTCACAATTAAAAATATTCATTTTTGTAACTTTTAAATTTATAATATTTTTTATTCTACATAATACCTATAATGTTAATTGTTATAAATATCTAATCTCAATCTGCAATTGTGACATTTAAACAGCGGATAATCTAAATAAAGAAATGTATATATATTACAATTTGTGTTCGGCTTTGGTTCTTAAGAGAGCTTTGGTCATAAATTGAGCTTTTGGATTATAATGTAGTCCAGTGTATATTTTTAGTGGAAAGAGAAAATATTTAGAATAATTTTTCTAAGAGTTAGAAAAATCTCGGTTGTAAGTAGTATGTAATTGACAGAAAAAATTCAAGTAATTAGAGAATTGATCAAAAAAAAAAAAAAAAAAAGCTGTGACAACTACACGTAAGTTATCCAAAACATTTGATATCGCTGAGATATAAGTTGATTTAGATGCAATACCAAAGAAAGAAATACTATATCGGTATAATGCTTATATTACAGCAATATAATAAAATTAATATATAAAAATAAATATCTTAAATTTGAGAATAGTGACAGAAAGTAATCATTACCTGTCGCTGTACGATAAACTTAATATTTGTATTCTGAAGGAACCGGATAAATTTTTATCAAAAAATTCATACAATAGTGCACATTGATTAACCAACATAGATTATATAGTAAAAAATGAGAATATAATGATAATGAATATAAATTTTAACAACACAATGTATAATTAATAGAATGTAAAAAATTTTCATTGTAAAACAACAAATAATAAAATTTATTTCAAACTAAAATATTATAGATCTATCTATGGTAATATATTAATAACATATACATTAACTTACGTATTGTGAAAAAAAATTTTCCAACAAATTCTAAACATCATTTTATTTCAGCTAGAAAGGAGAAAATGAATTACCATAGATTTAATACATAAAGAATTTACTATGTTAACATTATAAAAGGAGACATGATTAAAATCGACTAATTTCAATCAATAATAAATAATCCGATTACAGAGATATAAATCTTAACTAACTAATGTCAGCATTTATAATTATGGGTATGGTTGACCAGCAACAAATTATATTAATATTATTTAGTTTTGAATACCAAAAAAAGTAAAAAATATACAAGCAAGATTTTTTTTAATATGATTGACTGAAGTGTATAAAAGGATAAAAATATTTTTAAAATTAGATATTTTAAATCTATTTATATGTTATTCTAATATTTATTTATAAATTAAACAAACAACAGAAAAGTATTGAATTTTATGAACATAGAAATTTAAAATTATGCATTGTGCATGATTGTATTATATAACAAAATTGTTTAAACATAATTGTAAATGTAATAGTAATTAATAGTTTTATTTGGAATATAGGTAAAAAAAATTAATAAGTTATCAAAATATATAAGAAGCAGAAATATATTTTTAAATAAATAATAACATCTAATATTGAATTAATAATGATTATTATATTATATTATAGTAAATAGTTACTAATATTTAAATATATAAAGTACATTTACAATTCACGCACAATCATTTGTTTAGATATTTACGAAGTACTATTGATATGATTTATATTTATCATAATTTAAAAGATTTGAAAATTTAAAAAATATATTATCAATTATAGCGAATGCAAATATTTATAATTTTTTATACTATAATTTATAATTTTTACTGTCCACGAAATTTTCCATAAAAGAATTTTTACAATTTTTTAAAATTATATACTATTCCGCATCCAATTAAAAAAATTCTTTTTATGACTAAATATTTTTTTTAATATTTGCACCCACTGAACTAAAATGAACTATGTCAATATAGGTTAAACGGAAGCAATGTACAAAAAAGCGTATGTTATTATGTGATAGTATAATCGTTAGTTTGGAAAAATATTAAATAAAATTGATTAGGTTTTGTATATAATTATTTTTTCTATATATTTCAAAATAATACGTAGTTTTTTTATTCGAAACTTAATCCCTTAAATATTTTCATGTCTTTGTTATATAAAGAAATATCTTAAAGTTTTAGTGATAAAAAAAAACAATAAACAGAAAATGTTATTATTTTTTAAATTTTTTATTATAAATTTATGTTTTAAACCTAAAGTGCTAGTTTACAGAAAAAAATTTTTAATGCATTTTTCTTCACAAACATATTTTATTGAAAATGACATTAAAATTTTTCATAAAATTTATCATATATAATTTAACAATTTCTTTAACTTCAATAATATAGACAATGAATAATGCTTATTACATTTTTATATATCTGTATATATGCCCTGTGCGCGCAAGCAATGTAGATTTTTATATTCTGAGCTGTTTAAAATTTTAATAGTATATAGTTTAATTAGTGAAAAAATATAATTATCTCAATAATCATATAAACCATATAAATTATCTATAAAGGAAAATTAAATTTCAATTTCTTTAATTGTAAACATTCAAAGGTAAGGAATGTAAAATTGCATTGAGCACGTAACACTAACACACTTTGAATCATTCTCTTTACGAAAGAGTCCTGATTCGATAATTAATATTTTTTGTTTCATTAATATTTTTTTTTTTCATCTAATTTAATTGATGTTATGAAACGTAAAAATAATTGTGTTTAATGTAAAGGATTATTATGGATTAGATCATTTATCACTTTAAATAAAACTACTAATAGATTTATTTATTTTCAAGATGAAACCGTTCTAAATAAAATATTTGCTTAACATATTTCAGTTATAATATTTTGTAGTGATAAATCATCTAATGAGTTTAACATTGATCTTGATACAATAAGTACTTAGTAAAATCGCAATATCCATATCATATTTGCATTTATAAATAATAAAAAATATAATCACATACAAGTTTATTCATTAAGAACGCACGTGCGAATAAGGGCATCACAGACGGAATATGGATCGCAGTTGCTACTAGGTCTTCTATCTTCCAAATATCCCTTATTGGCTTCAGCTACGCCTCGAGGGATGCGAATACTTACATTACGGTTAGCTACTCCCCAGCTAAAATCGTGGATACTGCTGGTTTCGCACTTACCAGTCAATCTTCGTTCATTATCCTTACCCCCACGAGGATCGTAAGCTTTAATGTGCTTCAATTGTTTTTTACTCAATTTGTCAATAGCTTTTTTTATTTCTTCGATCCCATTATTAGCACGCATGCTTTTAGTTGAGAAATTACAATGAGCACCCGCACCATTCCAGTCTCCTTCAACAGGCTTAGGATCAAGAGTCACTATTACTCCAAATTCTTCAGCTATACGGTGGAGAATAAATCTAGAAATCCATATATCATCACCAGCAATAATACCAGAACTAGGTCCAACCTAGAATAATAAAATGTATAATTGAATAAATATTCTTATATTTATTAATTTTCCAAGTTTATTAAAACAATTTTAGTTGCACGTTATTTATAAAGTTTTCTAAATATTTTAAAATAGTAATAATGATAGTACATTTGTTTAATCTAATTTAATCGTATTCTTTATTTTTATTTTTCGTAAAGCTTATATGAAATTTAAAAAAGAAATTAATTATAAATTTTCCGGAACAAAAATGTTTTGTACTAAACTATAATAAATAAATTATTTTATCTGAATTTATATTTATAATAATAATATACTTATAAGTATGCTTAAATATGTTTAAAAGTACATGTTTGTTTGATTTTCAAACATTATACCTGGTATTCCCATTGGGATGGCATCACCTCGGCATTAGTCCCGGAAATAGCTACACCTGCATAAAGACAAGCACGGTAATGGGCTTCAACAATTTCTCGACCAAAAACTTTATCAGCCCCTACTCCACCATAATATGGTCCTTGAGGTCCCGGGAAACCATTTTTTGGCCAACCAAGGGGCCTACCATCAAAATCTAATAATGTATATTCCTGCTCAATACCGAACCATGGTTCATCGCTCTTAGCTAGTTCCATGGCCTTATTAGCGGAAGCACGATTATTGCATTTTGTAGGTGTCATATCAGCAAGATAGGTTTCACAGAGAACGAGGATATTATTTCCACGACGAAAAGGATCTTTGTAGATGGCTTGAGGTATAAGATAAATGTCACTATTGTCTCCTTCAGCTTGATATGTCGAACTACCATCATATTGCCATTGTGGTAAATCTGTAGACCAACATAGAATTTCTCATTATTTTAATAATATATAAAACACCAAATGAATTCTAAAAAATATATTATGTATGTTTAAAAAACTGAATTTCCTGATATTACTTGAAACTATTAACAGAAATTTTAAAATATTAGCCGATAGTATTATTTGGATTAAAAATTTCATTAATTGTATTAATATTTTTCTTACTTATATAATATTAAAATTGATTTTTAAAACTTTCATTCATTAATAATATTTTATTAATTCTTTTATAGTATTAATTTCTAAAAAGTTTATTTAAAAACATAGAAATTCTGATGAAAATTTAATTACGGTTGTTGTAAAAACACTTACAATATAAATTTTAATTTATAGTTACAATGTTAAAATAAATAATAATATAGTAAATCGCCTGAAAAAATCATACATTTTAAGCTTCATTAAAAAAAGAACTAATAAATATGTATACAATTAAAAATGTTAACAAACTCAGTAATTATTATTCTCAATAATTACTATATTTAACAATTTGTAACTTTATATTGATTGATTATAAATATTATCTATTTTTTAAAGTTTATTTTTAAACCATTATTTTGAACTTTAAAAATTTACCAATAGGTTTCTTCGGAATGAAATCAATCGTCCTGGTTTTACTTCTTACACCTTCTCCTGTACCATCAATCCAAATATACTTGGCTTGAATTTTGTTTTCTGGCTGTGGCAAAGCATAATATTTGTTTAATAATGTTTTATCAAGTGCTGCATTTGGTGATTCATCAAGTGTAGTCCTAGATCTTGTACCTGTTGTACTAAAATTAAACAAATATAGAATTAAATGAAAATCAATGATTTTAACATTCTACATTACATTAAAATAATTATATTATAGATTATTTATCTATTATTTAAAAAAAAATGTAAAATTTACATAAATATTCAATTCTACTGCTTAAAATATATTTTAATTGTTAGTTCATTTATAATAAAAATAATTGATTTTTCAATTTTTTAAGAAAATATAATATGATACTTAATTAGATATTAATTTTTTGTGTATTGAATAATAGTATTTAAAAATGATATACAATAACATCACATATTTAGATTTTAAACTATTACAAAAATAAACTTACTTAATAGAATTTTAAATCAACGTTATAAGAAAAATAGAAATAAATATAAATAACAGTTCTATTGTATCAATCATTGCTTGGCTAGATTTGTAACCATAGGCAATTAACACAATATTACTAACTGTATGATCATTATGCAAATTTATATTTATTATTTAATAATAAACTTTATATTTTAATCTATTTGTGCATATTTATAATCATAATAAAAATATTTTACGTTAGTCATCAATTCTCAAAATATAAGTACAAGCAAATTCAGAGAACTTCATCGCTGTATATACTATATCATAATATGAGGTGATCGTGAGAGATCATTGTAAAACAAATGGTATATTATCTAAATAGTATTAATTTAATGTTTATAATTAATGCAGATATATCATAAAAAATTTAATTTTTAAAAAATATTAAAAAAAACTTTTTATAAATATGTTATATTTTTAAGGTATAAATTTGTTCTTTGTATAATATTGTAATAGCGAGAAATTATATTTAATTTTGTATTATTTTATTTTTATTAAATATAAATAATCAAGATAGTATTAAATAGAAAAAATAAAAATCATCTTTCTGTATAAATTAACATCCTTTTATATATCAGTCATCGATAATTTTTTTAATACAACAAAATAAAATATAAAGAATTAAAAAGCGAATTGCAAATGTATAAAAGTCTGTGTAGTATGTATAGATTTTCATAAATATTACAAAAGAGTTTCAAATTTAATATTACACTTTAAGATAGTAAACACTATACAGTAATACATACAGTAATACAGTAATTCAGTGATACAGCGATTGACGTGCTACGATTATAATTTATCAGTTTTTAGCTACTTTAAATACTCGATCATGATAATATAAAACATAAAACTAAATAGATAGACAAAGATGGGATAAATTTTATAAGCAATACTCTCTGTGACAAAATAAAACACCATTGCTTGTCATAATACAACATAAGAAGAACATAAATTATAAAAATAAATAAAATGTATATTTATAATAAGGTTCTATCTAATTTTATTAATTTATAAAGATAATATCGATAAATAATTTACATATAAAAAGTATATGTAAAAAGGTATATTTTAAATAGTTTTCTCTTTTTCAAATTATAATTTATTTCCTTCTAATTGAATGTCTAATTATATTTATCATTATTTAAATAATAATTTAAAAAATGCACTAATCATGGAATAAAAAACAATTTTTTCAACTAAAACATATCAGAAAACCTATGAAATTTGATGCCATTTCAATTCGATGCCAATTTTCGATTTCTTATTTCAAAATTTTTTTTAAGAATAGAAACATAACATGTATAATAAATATTTATTATTTTATCATGATATATCAAAAAATCATCTAATGTCATATAAATTTTTATAAATATTATTTTATTCATTTATTTTTATTTTAAGAGCTATTTCTACATAAATTAAATTTTTTATTTTATATCATATAATGAGAATTGACTAAAAAAATTATTGTACATAATATACAATTATTGTAATAAAATTATTTATTTATACATTCGTATATATATTATTATTTCACTATACACAATTTCTTATAAGAGTATTTAAAACTGAAATAGTGCAAATCTATATTTTTTCTTAGAGAGTATACTTGCATATAATTAAACATATCTATGACTATTATAATTTAGTCTTTTAAATAAAAATCACTGAGTAGTATATGATATATGGTAGTATAATAAATAATTACTATAATTACGATATAACTCGTGTACTTTAATACAAATTATTATAAAAAATATATTTGCATAGATATTGGTAGATATTACAAATATCTATGCAAATATTTTTATTTAATTTTCTAACAAAAATATAAAAATCAATATTTGGCCTTTTTTTAAATACTCTCGACATTTTGTCTCTTAAGAAGCTCTTTATTAATAATAAATGAAACTAAATATAATGCATTATATTTATGTATAATGCATTAATTTACATTATATATTTGCATAACACTTACTATCGATTATTTAATATATATATATATATATATATATATATATATATATATATAAATTTTACTTTTACTTTTTTTATAGAATAAAGAACAAAAATTATTTTTCATTTGATAATATATTTTTGGTGAAAAAAAAATTTAATACGCCTTACTTTATAAAAATATTTCTATATATATATATTATTACACTCTTAGGAATTTAATACATTTGGTGTCATTTGCATGTAGACTAAAATGTTTTAGAACTATTTTTAGATACTATGTAGTACTAACTGTTATAAATCCTTATTATAAATTTTGAATAAATAATTTATGCTCTCTTAATACATAATAGCAATTAAATAATTAAATGTGTATATGTTTATATAAAATTTTTAGTTAAACATTTAGTTACAAATTTCTTTTTATTAAATGCTATATAATGCTAACTTATAGTTAAAACTTTATTTGTAATTTCAATAAACATATCATAATCACCATATGCTCCTTAAAATTATTATTTTATTTAAAATTACATTTTTACTATAACTGATAGTAGTACTCTATAAATAAATTATTTTAACTTTCGACATGACATTCTATATATGATTAATTTTTTTTTTTAATATTCTCATATTACATCATTTGTTATTATTACACTGATTTATTCTTATATTATGATGAACTTTTGAGATTTTAAATGATAAAGTTTTAAATAAGAGTGAAAATTAAATCTCTAAAGTATGAAAATTGACAAAATATATTAATTAATAAAAATATTAATGAGTATTTCTTCTATTTTTTATGAAAAAGTTGTGGAAACCGAAAAGCGAAGCATAAAAAGCAAAATTAGTCGATAGTATATGACACGTGTCAAGCATGAGATCAACACGTGTACCATGACAGGGCCGTTTATAGGATTTAAATGCCTGTAGCATCATATTTTTCAGATTTTATTTTTCAGAAATACTTTTAAACTTACAAATATTGATTAGAACTACTACTAATTATAAGTGTCAGCCATAAAAATGTTAAAATACAAAATCAAGAATAAAATTTTACTTAATTTTAATTGTAATAGCTGTTTTTATTTAGCTACAGTACAAATAACGTTATTGCGATTATTACTGCTTTTCTAAGTTGATTAATAATATTCAGTTATATTAATAAAAATAGTAAAATATTAATTTTTGTTCTGTATTCCATAAATATAAAGTTTCATCTTTATGATGTTTCTTAAAGTTAAATAAAATATTACATACAGTACATTATTTCAACTATGGAAAGTATTTTGTATAATTTTTTAATAATTTTTATTGTAACCTTGTTTTTCGTATAAAATTTATATATAAAATATATAAAATTAAAATAAGATATAAAATTAAAATAATATATAAAATTAAAATAATATATAAAATTAATATAATTATAACTAATATATAAAGTGAAATTAGTTTCGCGAATAAAGTTCATTATCTTTACTTTTATTTTTTTATTATAATTTAAATTTCCTATTTTATTTAATATTAATTGTATGTATCTACATTAAATATAAAAGGAAAATTTATTTATAAAATCATTGACACAAAATTTGTTTATGAAAAAAATACTTTCTCAAAAATACAATATATTTATTACTGTAATTTTAACAAACTCTGTGAATAAAATAATTTTAATAAAAACAAATTTATAAATTTGTATAACATGCACGAAAAATAATCTTATAATTTTATATATAGGTCACAAAACTACTCGACACTTCTTTCTAAGATATATTGTATTCATATTATCATATAGTACAGTATTTTTACTACATTAAAATTTAATACAAAATTGTATTTAAATACAATAATGATACTTAATAGTAAATTATATTCAAGTTTATGAGAATAATATAATTCATCTATATTAATTTCAATTTAATACCTTATATAAACTTGAATATTCGACAATATATTTTTGATATTGTCATGATTAATATAAGTAACATGTGTGGATAAATTCATAATGTAATATAAGTAAAATGCAATTAATTTGTTTCTTATTCACAAGTTAGTTAAAAAACTTACTTCATCATTAAAATTACTGTGCTTTATTATAATTTTTTTTTAATTTTTAAATTTTTTAAAATCTGTTATTATTTGAAATAATTAAAGTATACTTAGTTAATAAATATAATACTTTAATGAGAACTATAATTTTGTACTTAAAAAATTTAAATAACATAAATTTTTGAGCTTTATAATGTATTGAAATAACAATTATCAAAGGTAAACAAATATCATATTCCTTTTATAAAATATTGTTTGATAATTGTAATTTTTCTTTTTTATAATATTAATTGTATTTATTTAATTTTTATAAAATGCATGTACAAACTAAGAAAATATAGTATTTTAGTTTTTAATACGTTATAATAAACATTTAAAAATTTATAAATTTGAATTATATATTTCATATATAAATATAATTGTATTAATTATTTAATTAACCGCTAAATTATATGTAAATTTGATAAATAAAATCAATTTTACGCTAGATACACATACACATACACCATTAGTATAAACAAATCTGCTGTAATGTAAAATGTTAATTATAGTATCAAGAAGACAAAAAATATAAATTATGTATTTGCCTTACAATATTATTATTATATAATACAATCATAGTATATTATAACATAAATGTAAAAA